CTCTTAGGTTGGAGGCCATCACTATTGGGTTTGAGGCCATCGCTATTAGGTTGGAGGCCATCGCTAGTGGGTTTGAGGCCATGGCTATTGGGTTGGAGGCCATTGCTATTGGGTTGGAGGCCATCGCTTTTAGGTCCGAGTCCATCGCCTTTAGGTTGGGAGCCATCGCTATTGCTATTGGGTTGGAGTCCATCGCCTTTAGGTTGGAAGCCATCGCTATTGCTATTGGGTTGGAGGCCATCGCGATTAGGTTGGAGGCCATCGCTACTAGCTTATAGCTGGTTTTGTTATTATTTGTGGGTCCATCCACTTGGGTGCGGCCCAGGAGGCTGAGCCAACGATGTCGCCGACCTCCGACGCGCCACACGCTGAGAGCGAGGTGCCGATGTGTGCAGAGCAGAAACGATTCCCACGTCGGGAGTGTGAAACTGTACGTGCTCAACTCATCGGTTTATTACTCTATTACAATACTGCATTGTTATACATTCCCTGCAACTAACATGGAAGTGGACGTCCCCCTGTTTGTAGAGGAACATGGTCTTCCAAGGCCCAGTTTCGACTTCAGTAACTATTGACTGTTTGTTTGCGGGGTGTGAGTGGGAAACACAACAATCAAGCAAGGTCTTGCTTCCTTGAGGGAGATGGGAGAAACATATTAATATAGAGCCTGCTCCTGGTCAGGACCACGTGATATTGACACGGCCCGTGCAATTCTGCAGGAGAAGTCGCTCTGTTGACAGGGGCTAACAATCTTAGCTTCCCTTTCGTAGTGCCCACTAATACAAGCAGAGCCATAGCCATGTTGAACATACCATTTTGATGATGTTTTTGGCAAAGCGCACTCTTGACCAACATGTATGCATCTAATATCATCTAATATATAAATACGTGTATATATATACTCTAACTTATTGTCCTTTTGGAACAAATCTTTTTTCGTGAGGCTAATCGGCCAATCCTTGTGATTAAAATATGTAAATATGTTTCTAAGCTCGTCGAGAAAACAACCAGCTTAGCCTTCAGCATCTTCAACGGTCCCACTCTTTGTGGCTTCTCTCCACCCATTTGACGTCCAATTCCGGGCGGGAGAACACCGCGCTGTCCCACCCTGTGCCGCCGACGTGGTCCGGGACGACCCTGTCCCACCCTGGAAGAGCTCGAGACATGTTGAGCGACACGATTAGCCGACACGGAGACCAATCAACATGGGACATGGGATGGAGATAAGTGATTTAAAGGCTTACGCCTAACAGCCGGGCGCCGGCCCACTTGGGTCTGTGGAGCGTATGTCACGCCTATGTTGGCCTTGGTGGGGCCTATATTGAGCAAAGTTAAGCTATCTGGTGCGCATCTTGGCCCTAGGTTGGGCCAAGTGGGGCCCATGTGGTCTATGTTGGGCACATCTTGGACCTATGTTGAGCCTATGTTGGGCCTATGTTGGCCTATGTTAGGCCTATGTTGGCCTGTGTTGGCCGAGGTTGGTCCTATGTTGGGCCTATGTTGGCTCCATGTTGGCCTATGTTGGCCCTATGTTGAGCCATCTTGGAGGCTATGTTGGGCATATGTTGGGGATATGTTGGCTGTCTTCGGTCTATGTTGGGGATATGTTTGGCAATCTATGTGGAAAAAGTCTTCCGAGACAACTTTTTCCGAGCTTTCCTGCCCGCAAAACAAAAGCACTGGAAAAAACCTACGTTTTTTAACATCGCCAAGGTGAAATTCTCGGCCGCCGAGGGGCCCCAAACCCTGTAAAACACGAGGTTTTTGAACATCGCACGCACAAACCACTGTAAATTACGTTAATATCGGTGAACCGGAAGTGACGACGGGGTCCGCCCGTTTTGGGAACGAGGGTCGGCGGCAGGGGGCGTGCCCGTCGATAACCTTCGGTTACCACCGAAGGCCCTCCGGGCATGCCACGGGCTTCCTGGCCGGCGCCCGGATTTGTTGTATCTTATATATATGATACACATATGCATGCTCAGTATATGCTTAGTGCCTAGTTTTTGGGTGTGGCGCGAAGGTCGAAGCTAGAACCTTCAAATGCTCTATAGAGTCGTCACAGTGCGTCGTCGAGTTCATCGGAATTCATACTCTGAGAAGCACAAGTCTTTTGCAGATCCACCAACCGGAGAATGGTCTCAAAATCTCAATCCCGTCAGTGTGCAAGACCTGTCGATTCTCCGATGTCACTAGCCGGGCACCAGTCGGGCACAGTCCAGATGTCATGGCAGGTTGAAGAGGGTAAACCCTCTGAGGATGACCTGCCAGATGAGGAAAAGGCAAGGCAGTTGGTGCGAGTGACCAGAGGCGGACGAATAACAGTGTCATAAACTCAAGATCCATCATATAATATGACTTTATAATAACATGTCTAGAAGATGTCAAGTTTGTTGTGCTCTTCCGCGATGTTCCATATAATTTATCGTTGGGGATGACTATCGATGGAGCAACCCTAGATTCATGATTCTGGATTGAGATGGGGCCTTTGCTGATTATAGGTTCCTGTGTTGTGCCATTTACTTCATGTTTGCTCAACTTGGGTGAAGAAGACCTTCTCCCTCAGATCAATGGTGGAACCCCAAGCCACCGCGTCCGGTTGGTAAGAACGGGAAATGGTCGAAACCACTTGGTCTTCCTTCTCAAAGTCCCATGGGATCGTCTGCCGGGTTTTCGTTGACAAGTAGTTTTTGTTGACCCGCCAACATGACTTTGGTACATGGTTTGCTGCGAAGTGGGGTACATCACCTTCTTTTGAGAGTCGATGGTGGGTGATTATGGAACATGTCAAGACTCGACACCACCCTGAATGGTGCGAAGCGACAGCTGCAGGTCCAAACCGAAACCCAAAATTCCAGGTTGACATCCCTGGAAGTCCATTCTGTTTGGAAGCTTAACCAGACCTTTACAACCGTCGTCTCCGTGACTCTGACGATCCCAGATACCCTGACGATCGTATGTGCTGGTATGGTTGAAAGGTCAAGCGGGGTTGCGACGTAGTTGACCCAGATATATCAACCACCTCGCATGTTCGATCAAGTGGAGTCATTGAGGTTAAAACTCTTCAAATTAGAGCTCCTCATCAAGACGAAGCATGGAAAGACGAAGCATGGAAAAGACGAGGTGTCTCGACATATTGAAAGTCGCCAGCACCAATCCACCAACACCTTCCAAGATGGACATGTTGTTCTTGTTTTCTCGCTTGCTGTCGGTTCTCCCGATGGTCACGATGACCCATCACGGTTGACGCTGTCGGTTTCACGCTGCGGAGGCGGCCTTAGTCTGGGAACGCTATCGTGCTCAGAATCGCTCGCTGATTGGAGACCTCTTCGAGGAGACACGGCCACGCGACGACGGAAGAAGACTGGGTGAGGACATGAAAGGAGTGGATGAAGACAGGTCCAACGCAAAAAGGATGGAAAACATTGGTTCAACTGAATCAGAGCTGTTATATAGGTTGAGGAAGACCTCTTCAAGGACATGATTGCTTGGTTGTATGATCTGTTACCAGGTGTGGCCGGCCCTGTGGCTGTTGTGTGCACAGGTGAAGATCATTGGAACATATCCTTGGAATCAACATCCATTTGTTCTGGTGCAGAAGAATCATGCATAGTATGTTGCTCGGTGTTCTCCCAACATCCCAAGCTTTCACTGAACCGGTGGTTGACACCACTCCTCTCCGTAGCTAACTATCCGTCCGTTGATGCAGGGTCAACTGCGTAGCCAACTTCGATGCAGTTGTGGCCACAACTCCTCCACCTTTGAGCCTTTCCGTCACTTGGTCAAAAGCAATACGAGCCGGGTCTTGCAGTGGAGACTTCTGTCCCCAATTTCGGTTTGGATTGCAGTTTTCAATTCCGGGTGTAACTTGAAGTTTGCAGCGTGATTCATGGCCGTTGGCTTTTGACGGTTGGGTTTTTAATGTCTGGAGACAGGTGCCAATCAGATTGAACGCAGGCCACTTAGAAGACTCGTTTGTACTATCATGCAGTAGATTCCCTCACCAGGCCAAATTTAAGCGTGTTGCAGAATGTGCAGTGAGCGGCTGTTCAACCAGGCAGTTGAAGTTCCAAGACAAGCACATATCGCATCAACACCAACAGGTTTCAATGATGCACAAACAAAAACACTCTTCACTGCTATATTCTTCCCGCTGTTTCTTCGCGTCCATGACTGTCTGCAAACATGATCCGTTTGAGTGGATGGTGGTGTTTTCAAGGGCTCAGAAATGGTAATGGCGTTTCATGGCCTGACACAGCTGAGAAACTGTTTGCTTCTGGAGCATTCTGAAGCAAGGTTGCTAACCGAAGCACATGTTTTTGTCCAATTGCACCCCTGCTGGGAACAAATCTTCGATCGGCTGAAGCAGCACGTCGTCAAATGACATTGATCAATCAACTATAATAAACTCCTTCCCCCGGCGGCCGATCACGGCGCTCCTCTCCTCTCGGTCCCGGTCCCGGCATGCCCTCTTCTCGTGGGGTAGACCGACCGAGGCTACTTGAGCATACCTATCCCGTCCAATCACATGGACCGCTGTGAGCTGAAGGCGCCCGACCCGAGACGAGAACCAAGCGCGGCACGGAGAGCGTCGACTCCGTCGGACGGTTCGGTTGAGCGGCGACGGTGAAGGATTTTACGACGATGAAGAGAACTTCATGAATGAGTCGTCTTGAGTCTTTTTTACACGTTTTGAAAGCCAATGAGAAGCAGTTGCAACTAGCCACACCATTATAGTCTATTGAACTCCAAAGACCAGCTTCAGCTGGATGATATTGGATGCCATGGCTGCAGGACATCTTGGTTCTGATTGGTTTGCTTTCGACAGCATTTTGGACCAATGACAGCCTGCTGTGTTGCACAGGTCATATATTTTCCAGCTCTTTCTTCGCCTACGGACCGTCCTCAACTGGTTCGGTATACCGTGGCTTGACTGCGTTCATTTTGTACTTTGCTTGGAACTGCAAAGAATGTGTGGATGATCAACCCGGAAAATAGCGAACTCAATGTGCATTCATGCCATGTTCCTCTCGAATTGGGTATATTAATAAAGACTGATAATCGTATCTGTTCAAGGTAGAGCAAACGGGTGGCGTTTCACTCCCTGCTTCGTCACCGAGTCTTAGACCGCTGCTGGACACATCACCGGTATGGTCACGAAGAGAATCACTGTCGAATACCGCAATGAAATCAAGCCGACACACGGAATCATCATGGAAGTGAAGTTCACGGTTCACCTGTTTGTAGAGGACTTTGGCTGGTCAGAGGATTTGGGCGGCACACTTCGATAATTCCGTGGTCAGTGTAGCTCAATCCGCTGCACTGACCACTGACGACAACGAGAGAGACGTTCTTTCGCTGGCGTGGGGAGCAAAGGCGGCAAAAGCTGGCGTGAGAAGAGAAGAGACCAATTCGACACAATAGGTCAATAGGTACAATAGGTACAATAGCTACGCAGAATCTCTAATGCTCCCCTTCAGATTAAATGGAACCCCAAACCCTCATTGGTTGTAAAGGAAAATGGTCTACCACGGGTCAATTCTCAGGTTCCATCTTAGTTTGCAAGGGGGTAACGCAGTTGATGGATGTTGATGGAACAGTCCTACACCTTACCGACCCCGCACACCCCTCAAAATGAGGAGATCTCGTTGATACTGTTCACTACAAGACATCCTGTATCAAAGGTCGGCTTCTGCAAAACGGCCGCCTTTGGTGTCGAACATTGAACATGTGCTTAGAGCCTATTAGCTTCCAATCAACTGGCCTAATGCCATACCATTGCCTGGTTTTGCTTAGGCGGTGAATATGTTTGTATTTTAGCTGGTTCCGGAATTAACTCCAAGATTGGCGTCCAGTTTCAGCTTCTGAAGCCAATGATTGGCTGGAAACATTGCACACACCGCCTGTGACCGCCCGCGACCGCCTGTTCCCGACTGACCCGAAGAATAAGGACCAATGGGAGGTGGTAAGACATTGTAAGACATTCCAAATCAAACCTGAAAATATACCAATTCATATAACAATCATATCCAATCACATACAAAAATGTGCATGATATGTGTATATAAATCCACCGTTTGGAGCACCTGTAAAGATATCATCCTCTTCAAAGAGCTGCGTGACTGGTCACGGCGGAATCGCCCGGCGGAATCTCCAGGTACAAGTGCCAAAGTCCAGCACCGCCAAACGTTCCTTGGAGAAACCAGAGGGAACGGTGAAAACCACCAGCACGACTTCCGGTGCAATCCACCAGCGTTCTTTTCTCTTTTTTCTGTGATGGAAATTGGTCAACGTTTTAATTTGGTGTGTTTGCAGAGCAGGCTTCAAGGTCTAAGTTGGAGAATTGGCAAGAACAGGAAGAATATCATATATGTTATTGGTGTCACGACCTCTGGTGACTCGCACAGGCGTTCGTGGAACACGCATGTTCCGTTTCAGTAATGGTGTCGACGTGCTGTGGAAGGGACGGGGGTGGTGCAGGGGGCAGGGGGAGCCAACTACGTCGAGACTTGTTGCGTTCGAGGACCACGGTACACTGACCACAGGTCTTGAAGCTCAATGCGTTCGTTATCTCTTCGTTGTTGTGTGTCTCTGTGCTTTGTGATTCTTCTTCGGTTGACTCGTCGTGACTTGTCGTTGTTCTTTCCGTCCCGGTTGTTGAACTTTTTTCGGGTGGACATGTTTACTTAAGGACAGTTTGCTGGACTTGGCGAGTCCGTGTTGGACGATATCAATAAAACAATCCGTACATTCCACCAAGGGTCGCAGCCTCTTTGTTTGTGTCGAGTACACAAGATGCCATGGAAAGACAGGCGTCGTTGTGAGCTCACTGGCGCGGTGAAAACTGATGATGCAACTTTTTGGGCTTGGAGGAAATGGTGCGCTTTTGAAGCCCCAATGGAAAAGGACAAAAATGATCAAACAAAGAGGGTATATATATATATGTAAATATACAGAAAAAGGACCTGAGACAAAAGATATGCATCTACAAAACTTTGATAATTACCATGAATTGATCCACGATGACATAAGTGCCACACCCACAACTACGCCACTACGCGAGTCATTCGGGGTTGTGTTACCATGTTTCTCACTATGCAATCACATTTGAATTAGTAACTAACTATCCCTACAGGTTAAGGATCTTATTTCCTGGACTTTGTCACCTCTTTGCATATCAGTTCGGTCAGTTGGGTACCTACACGAGTGCTTCACCTTCTCGGTCGTGCTGCGCAGCCAACAGCAAGGTCTGCAGCTCACGCTCGCACGTCAACTGCCAGTCTCTTCGGTACTCCTCGCGGAGGTACCGGGCGTACCGCGCCAGATCGGGGCTCTCTGGTAGCGGTGACGGGCCACAGCCCCGGACGTGCCCGTTGCAAGCCCCAAGAGCATCACTGTGTTGGCTCAATGTCAGGTGGTGTCAGGTGTAGGATTTCTGTTGGATTTCGGGGCCCCCGAAGAAGTCATCAATCAGATCCTCGCTCCATGGGCGTTGCAAGCCTCCCCCAGAGGTCACTGGGCCGCTTCTGGAGCTGTTGTTGTTTTTATAGATTCATGGCCCCATTGGATGCTTATCTGAAACGCTCAACGTTATCAGAGTTCATCGTGTCAAGCCAGATCGAAAGACCCTTTTGGCACCTCTCGAACACAGAGACCTTTCTCTCACTCAGCACCGCAAGAGTGGAATCAGGCTGTATAGTTATATAAGATGTATATAGTTCTTTCGGCGATGTCACCTAGATGAACACCAGTACCAGTTCCCGGGCACCAGATAGATACCTAGGATAGAAGAGGGTTGGTTTCTGGGCTTCGCCCTGGCTGTTTTTGCGTTGTTCCTGGCACCGGGCTTTGTTTTGTAACCTTATTTTGAAGCAAGGATGGGAACAGGTGAACTGTGTGGCAGTGGCAAAGTTTCCGAGGGCCTATTCCAAGGCCATATCAGTATTGGGAAAGTTCCGAAGGTTCTGTTGAATTGGGGCCTACCCCTAAACCTCCAACCATATCCTCGGAAGGTGGTTAGACCCCCAAAACCCACCCCAACCATCTTCTCAGGAGGTGGTTGGAGCCCTAGGGTACAGTAAAATTTTGGCTTTAGAGTAGAGAAAAAGTTTGTTGGGCTGCTTGCAGGTGTACCGCAGTCGCATCCACAGGCGGGTTCACGGCGGGTGCTGAAGGTTCACGGCGGGTCCCCAACAGCTTCAGAGCTTCGAGGTGGTTCAACAGTATGACTTTGATGAGTCTACAGGACCTTGTGGTTTTCTTCAGGATTGTCGAATTTTTTAGACCCTGGTTCCAGAACTGAATCAGAACAGTGGTTCAGGTCTCAAAAACAACATGACGACTCGAATGACGACCAAGATTTTCAGGGGTTCCTTCCCAAGACCGTTTCACGTGCTTCTGGTGCATGCTGTTTCAGGCCAGATTCTCGACTTCAGAATTCTCGAAGGGTAGGCCGGCTCCTTCGGTAAGAACAAAGCAACATCCAACTCATGTAGACTATTGATACTATTGTAGACTCTTGATGAAGGAATACCCCCCCATGTGGAGATGTCAAACAGTGCTGTATATATAATTATGGGGGGTATTAATCACTCCATCTACATGACTGACGATCTGCTGGAAATATCTTACGATTGAGGACCCTCGAGTCCGGATGCCTTGGTCCCTCCAGATGTCCCTCCCTCCCCCGCAGTCCGGCGAACCCATTCGGCGAGTGGACTTGGCAGCGGACTGGACATGCAGTCGTACTTCGTCGTACGACATGTTTGAGACCCTCGTGCGAACACATGCGAACACCTATTCCGGCAGAAGGCATGTGATTTTCCAGAAGGCTTGGGAAAACCATGTCGTGATCAAAGCTTTCCCCACCTGCCGGCAGTACCAGTTTCCCATTTTGATCATTTTGGAGATCTGCAAACGAAGCTATATACAGCTAGCGCAGCTGGAACGGGGGAACTGACATGAACTCTTTAAACAGGGCACCACCCTGTTTTCGACGCCGCCAGATACCTGGAGCCGAACTTGCCCTTGTCAGACGTGACGACCGGCCTGTTTAACACCGCCGTGTCAACCGCCGGTTCTCCAGGTGGATATCAGGTGGACCGCACCGCTGGGAGACCCATGTATATATCGCTCCATGCTTAAAAGGTTTGATCATGTGAGTCCTGCCACAGATCACGCAGTCAGTTGGTGCTAATGATGCAAATGAAGAATGTTGATTTCTTAGGTGTGCAGATACGGATGGCCTGTCTTTCTGACCGCAGCATGTATTCACGCACAACTTACGACCCCATGGCAGGTGAGAGACGAAGATCAACTGGTGGCATTTGAAGTACAACAAAATCCAGAGGAGAAGCTGAGAGAAGTGGGCGTGGGCTTTGAAGCTGCAAAAATCAGGAGCACTGCCCAAGATAGTAACACCAACCTAGATACAAAGTCGAGTACATCTCCTTCAAACACATACTGTATATATGTATATAAATATGTTATATATATAGTATATGTATGTATTACCTAGAACCTGATCGACCTCTATTTTGGACCAGCCACTACTCAAAATATGTTGTTCCTGGTTCCTCCTATCAAAACAGAGGTCATGTCTGGGCTCTAGGTAACACACGCAGTTTCTATCAGGAGCACCATTTTAAATTTGTTTCAAGTGCATCGCTACTAGTAACAAGGGAATTACTACTAGTAGCAAGAAACTACTAGTGACAACACCTAAGCGGCTCAGGGACCGTTCACCAGGAGTGCCAGATTTCACTCCCAAGTATTTCTTGCTGTGAGGGACGTGTGTGGGTAGATGGTAGAAATGAATCAATTAGGGAGATCCCCTCCGCGGACCAAACAAGTAAACATTATGCACGGGGTGGCTTCTCCCATGATTCAGATGTTACTGGATAGACGCATGTCCAGCTACCAGCAGAACAATCACAGTCATTTACTCACTCTGCCTTCAGACGTATGCGACTCCAAGGGCCATCAAGTGCCCACGCTCCAATATCCTCATGCTTGGTGGAGAAGCTCCAGTCATAGGGGCCTCCCAAGACAACTGAGGCGTTCCAGGGATGCACACTGCAGCCGCTTCCGTCGGGTTGGTATGCGCAGATGACAGCGAATTCAACCCTAGGGAAGGGCACGCAAAGATGGTGGCACAGAGCACTAGCTTGACAGTAGAACTCAGCCTGAAACCAGGAGTCGATGGTTTCTGGGCAGAGGTGTCTGGGCAGGTGATCAACGTGTCAAAAGTGCCGAAAAAGGGCCTCAATGTCATTGACTCATAGTGGCCCAAGCCTCTAAACCCAAATGACCCAAGCTGCTCTATGAGTCGGTGTTTTTCATCCCAGGGGGCCTCCCCTGGTGCCCACAAACCATGTCGATGTCCCTGGATTTGTTTTGGCCAAAGAGGCGCCCGGTCTTTGGTCGAGACGCGACGCTCGAGTCGCTGACGCTGACGCTCGATCCGTGGGGGGGCAGCTGGTCGCAGCTCGTCCACGGCTCGTCCGCAGGATCTGGTGGCTTTTCAGCAGCAAGTGCTCTCGAAGAACCTGACTCAGGAGACTCAGGAGACCTGACTCAGGAGGCGGCTCAGGCAAAACACCGAATGGCCACGATGGAAGGGAAGCCCATTAGTACTAGTAACAAGTGCATTACTACTAGTGACAAGAACATACTAGTAGCTTTTTGCTAGTAGTAATAATGCCCTTAGCTACGGCTCAGGTAACCATTTAAGGGATGGAAGATGGAAAATAGACCAGTCTTCCCAGCCAGGGCCAGGGGTCTCCCTATTTAAATACACACTCATTTGGTTTCTTCAGTTCCTGACCTCACCTCATGTCGAAACCAGGGACATGGTTGATGGTCTATGATGCTCTTGAAACCACTCCCTGCAATTTCTGAGGAGCCTGGTGAAGTGGGGCCTCGAAATTCGAACCCACATGTTTGGCTGATACGCTGCAAGTGGGTGTATCTGGCAGTGAAAGAGTTTTGAAATTAACTTGATCATTTGCTTCAACCGACAATGGTTCAGCTTGCCTAAAGAGGACTAAATGAACGCAGATAGATAAAGCTATGCCAATTTGTTTGTGGAACCATGCAAGTTGGCAGCCAGGGCCATACACCCAAACAAATGACTTTGAGGGTCAAATTGGTATACCTCTGGTGGGTTCGGGTGACAGGTTTGTGAAGGATCGGTGGCTGGTTTTGCATGGTTTTGGATGCTTTTGGGCAGTCCACGGACTGACATTGTGCATAGGGACCAGACACAACCTTGCTGCCATCAAGCCTTGCTACGCAATGCTACGCATGCCCATTGGAACTTGTTTGTTGGAGTGATTTCATGAAGAGTGTGCACGGCAGGCAGGGCAATTGTGGGTTGGGTCTTCCTCAACCCTGAACCTAACTCGGATTCCTTTAACGGGGAAAAAGCACAAACATCTTTTCCAGGTTCGGGATTCACCCGGTTCGGGAAGATAAAACATCACCTGATCCGCAAAGCAACAGGGCTACGTAAATGTCCATGTCAAAACGCACTCGATGCCGTGGGCGAGTTTTTTCGTTGCCCAGTGACAGTGTGCAGGAGCCTTTGGGCACTGTTCTGATGATCCAGGCTCCAACAGACATGAGATGATTCTTGTTTTTGCGACTGCTTAGTCGCATTTAGTCTCTAGATGTCTATGCAGACTTATGCAGATCATTTGTTCACGCTGGAATCTCCCTTGTGATTGACCTGGCTGTGTTTTTGGGGGCCATTTACTTAAGAGCAGATGGATGAGAAGGGGGAGCAACGCCAAGAGTGGCTTACTTGCAGCTTTTGGGAGGATCAAATTCTAGCTTCGAGGCACCCGACCTCAGCCAGCAGCAGCAGCAGGAGGAGGTGGAGGAGTAGTAGTAGTAGTAGTAGGAGCAGCAGCAGCAGCAGCAGTAGTAGTAGTTAGTAGTAGTTCGTAGTAGTTAGTAGTAGTTAGTAGTAGTTAGTAGTAGTTAGTAGTAGTTAGTAGTTAGTAGTAGTTAGTAGTAGTTAGAAGTAGTTAGTAGTAGTTAGTTGTAGTAAGTAGTAGTAAGTAGTAGTAAGTAGTAGTAAGTAAGTAGTAGTAAGTAGTAGTAAGTAGTAGTAAGTAGTAAGTAGTTAGTATATAGTTAGTAGGTAGGTAGGTAGGTAGGTAGGGAGGCAGGCAGGCAGGCAGGCAGGCAGGCAGGCAGGTAGGTAGTAGGTATACACATACATATCCCCGACTCCTCAGCCCCCGGATTTGGCCCTCCGAAACGTGAAGCTCTAAAAGGCAAAAGTTGCCAATGGCTACACAGCAAATCGGTTTGCGCTGATCAAAGACTTGCTTTTACTTACTGGAATTGCGTTTATTTTTCTTGTTAGGGCCTGGGAGTTATTTCCCTGTATTAGTTTCTATCAGTTTCTTGTGTTGCTAATATATTTTCAACTCTCGTTCGAGACCTCGCTGTTTTGTTTTGTGTGTTTGTCAGCTTGAGCAGCTCGTGGGAATTTGTGCCACCACTCTCCTCAGCCGATGATGATGCCACAGTGGTTTGGAAAGTGAACAGGCCCCTTTTGGATACCGTGCGTGGTCTTGCGTGTTTTGCACAGCGCCAATGAGTTCAAGCAACAAAACGACTCAACGGGTTGATAAAAACCCAGATGCCAGAAAACCGACGTAGGTTGGAGGCCATTGCTAGTAGGTTGGGGGCCATTGCTAGTGCCATTGCTGTTAGGTTGGAGGCAAATGCGTTGACACCGCCAACCAGTGTTGTTTCAGGTCCAACTCTGGGTTATGTTCAAACACAACTGATCAGTTCAGACCGCACAGCTGGAAAATCGCAGATCGTGCTGGTCACACATCTGGACATGACCTCGCAGCACTCTTCCGTTGGATCCGGCGGATAGGACAGCCGCCGCTTCCGACCCTCTTCGTTTGGGACACGTGGAGAGGGTGAGCGGTCCCAAGCCGCTTTCTTTGACCGGTGACGGGCTGCAAGGTGATGCATCGCCATGTGGTGGATGTGTGCCGTCCGGATGGTGACACCTGGGCCCAGAAAAGGGAGGCGCGGTATTTGAGGCGTTGTTTTTTTTACATGTTTTTACAATGAGCACGGAAAAGGAGCGTGCCCCGCCGTTTGGAAGGCACCTTCAATTCTATTGGTGCTTCTATAAGAGTGGGAAATAACAAAGCTCTCACTTATAGTAAACCAAGCAAGGTAGTTGTGTAATTGGACGAAACTCGAGGTCAACGATAGTGGACACTACTCGTGGAGGTTCTCCAAGATCCTAAGACAGTACAGTGCCCAGAACCCGAGGCTCGCGCTTGCAGGTGTTTCTGAAGACCTCTTTTTGCTTCTCTTAGCTGGTAGGTGCTCCCTTTTGGGGAATGTTGACCAACCAGTGAGCGGTAACCCTGAAACCATGCGTTTCAAAGAGGAATTTGTGGAAGGGAAGCAAACTAACATATACCGTATACGACCCATTTGTTCTTCCTCAAGTTCCGCAGATTTCAGATGGTCTAATTGTTCATATGATATTGTGAATATTGACGAATATGGTGTTTTAAATTTAAAAATACTATATAATACTATATATATATATATTATAGTTATTCTGTATGTAATGATGTAATGTTTATATATTCCATCGGATCTTGTTTTGCAGAAGATGTTTCACCAAAGAAGCCACTTGTTGAAACGTTGGATGAATCGATCGAAGTCTTGGGCAAAGCATCGGACGCGACGTCTTCGACTCGCGACACTCGCGTGTCGCGTGTCGCCCAGCGGTGTGTTGTGCACAGCTGGAGGTCTTTGGGATGCCCTTCGTGATGAGCACCTTGGTCCGCCAGAGGTGTTGACTTTCTTTGCCGTGGGTTCCGGCAAAAAACGTCACCGGCGTGATAGTAGGAGAGGTGAATTTGGTATATTTTTGTATAATTAGTTATAAAGTTAAAGAGCCCCTGTCCCCCACAAAGCTTGGCTGAGGCTGAATCATTTGTAAAAAATGTGTTTCGTACTCTCAAGGTTGGAGGCCATTGCTATTAGGTTGGAGGCCGTCGCTATTTGGTTAGGTTGGCGGCCATTGCTATCAGGTTGGAGGCCATTGCTCTTAGGGTGGAGGCCATCGCTGTGAAGAAGGGATCTTTTACAAACATGCCATCTCTGTGGTGGACCACAGCAGGAATGCACGGCGGGTGGCACCCTCTCAGGTGCTGGATCGACCTGGACTTACGCAGCACTCCATGATCCTCGACTTGCAGCAGTTGACATGAAAAACACCGTAAGCATGGGTAAGCAAAACATTGGTAAGCCTGGTAAGCCTTTTTTTGGACCCACCTTAAGACTGGAATTCTCGAATTGAACACCGTTTAGTTGGAGAATGTTTTGTTGCACGTTAGTTAGTTTCTTCAAACTTGAAACTTGAACATGGATCTCTGGAAGATTCATGAAACTTCTGGACGCCTGTGTCCTCTAATTGCAGCGTAGTAGACACCACCCTCAAACTTGGGTTCTGTCTTCGTTTGCTGGGCTTCATGGACGAAGAGCAACATGTCCAATGTCAAGTGGCCCACTTAGCAGGGGCTTTGTATGGTCGTAGAATCCAGTGTTCAGCAACTTCTACAGGACCCTAGCTTTTCAAAGGCAAAGATCCTGGAAATCCTTTTGTGCTGCAACACTTCGTTGGTATTATATATATGTTTTTTGACAGAATTCCCACCATGAGTTGCCTATGTATAAGCATGCAAACGGTAGACAGTTGAATTTGCTAAGTGTCTGACACGAATCTAGTGAACATCGGTGGAAAGCTGGTTGCCCATGAGCAGAAGAAGAACAATGTATGCTAGCTGGCCCGTGAAGGTGCTGAAGGTTGGGGCTTTTAGAACAGAAAAAGCTTTATATAACAAGAAGCTACTAGTAACAAAGGGCATCGCTACTAGGAGCAATGACCTTACTAGTAGCTCCTGGCATTACTAGTAACAAGATGTGGCTCCAAGGGTTGGAAGTGAGTTTCGACATTTCAAGGTCTTCTCCACAGTTTGGCGACCAGTTTTCAGATACGGAGACAGAACTCATCCAGGATCCTCCCACCCGTTCGACGTCCGACCTGGTCTTCCCCCACGGTCCCTCTGGTCCTGGCGAACGATCGATCGGAGGAAATGCTCATGATCCACGCGAGGAGGTGCGTTCTATTTGTGAAGAAAGGGTTTGGGGTCATGCCTGGGTTAATGTCAATAGTGATCATCCAGAGATGGTGTTATTTTGTATCGTTTTTGTTGAATTTCTTGGAAGGGCCCCCGCTCGTGGTGATGGACAAATGGAGGTCAACCATGTTACGTATGAGACATGGGCAGTATGACTTCCTAAGAACTATACAAGAAACTCAATCTCTTTGAACGAGGAATCTCCTTGATGAACCAGGCTAGTCCGGCTAGTCTTTCTGAACTCGATGACCTCACTGTGGACTGGGTCCGGCACAGAACCATCGGATTCAATGGCACCGTCGCGAGTCACGCGCAGCGAAACGCGCGGCAAGCTTGGCGCAGCTTCGCATGGGTTGGAGGTACTTAAAGGCTGGCCATGGCTCCGACAGTCAGGCCGACGAGTGTGGTGGAGAGTGGGTCCAGCTGCTGAGAGAGAAGGATTCCATGAAAGAACCTGGAGTATGAATCCATATGAATCCCAGACCTCCAAAGGCCAGGACTCCTCGAAAAGTCCGAACATCCCTACCAGTACCCGACTCGACGGGACTCCTGAAAACTCCTGAAAAGAGGGTTGTGGGCGTCTCCAAAAGGTCTCAAATTGGTGACCGATTTTCCAGGGAACCATTTACCCAACTATTACTTTCGAGCGAAACGGACAGAGCCAGTATATGACATAGTCTGACATACAATGCTGGTGTTACTTTGCTTTTGCCACTGCACTCACAGCGATGTATATAATTAATGTCTTGATGTTCTGCAAACAGTGATATTGTTGCACACTTGGTTTGGGGCAGAGGACCAGTGCGCACACTGCCAGGATCATTTGTTGGCTTGTTTCTCCAACTTTGATTCATGAACTTTGCACATCATTTGTCAGCTGAAAAGGACTAATTACCCAGCAGACACCTATCAGTGGCCATTCTGACAATGCTGGTCTCCATCTCCTGGGAGCTATTGAACCCCTAAGGAGTGGGGGGGGCTAGAGGAGCACTCTTCCCTGCATGGAGGCATGTATCTCCTACCATTGCACTCACCCAAAACAGCAGTTTAAGCCTTGTTTTAAGCAGTGTGATGGTGTTCATTACACTCCCACTCACCACCACGGACGTGGAAAGACCCTGTTCGTAGAACGATCCCGGGGCTTATGTCATCCACTTCCATCGTATAGGTGATGGAGGCGGTGTGTTTGTTTTTCTTTAAATCCGGGGATTTGATGGTTTTGCTAGCCATATTTCATATGTCATTCACTGAGCTCCAACAGTTGAAAATATATGGACAACAAAGTCATGTTCCAAACCTTTGAACACGTTTGAACACACAAAATACATCAACATACCATTATGTTGCGTCTATCTTTGTCAATTGTTTGTCTCTTTCCTGAACGTTAAACCGATGACGACCGGGGGGGAGCACCGATCACATTAGCCATGAACGCCAGGTGCCGTTCGTGGCTCGCATTGTGAACGCTTCGGGCACGGCCTGTGGCGCTTGCGACCGAAAGAACTGCACAGGTTGGCAAGATGGGTGTTTCGATGTGTTTCGCGTTTGTTTGTTGTGTTTTTTTAATGTCTTTTTTCTACACTCGTGAAAACTAGCATTCCGCAAAAAATGAGAACCTGTTGGTCTATAGTTTCGCACGTACCTCTTCGAGACTAACCTAGACCAAATGCAGAGAGCCCCTAGACGTATGTGCGTGAACCTTCCGAAGGCTGCACTTTTTGCGCCTCGCCTCTAACCTAGAAGGCGCCTCTAGGAACTGAGAGGCATTTTTTTTGCAAGAGGCGATTCTTGGTTTACAAAGATTTCTTCCCAGTTATGTGGATAGATTTGTTGGAACACACTGTGTTTTTGTTGACATCAATGGCTAAAACACATGTGAAGTATAAACACGACATGAACAACATGAAACACATGAAAACCACACAAAAGAATGAAACATATGATAAACATGAAACACATGAAAGCCACATGAAAAGCATTAAACATGTGATAAACACGAAACACATGAAAACCACATGGAAAAACCTGAAAGCACAGGAGAGCCACATGAAAAAACATGAACCATATGAAAATCACGAAGCACATGAAAATCATGAAAGCACATGAAAACCATGAAGCATACATTGAAGCATATGCAAAAACATGAAAACACATGAAAACACGAGAGGCGGAACTTCCCGGGTAAGAGGCGGAATTCCCCGGTCATGAATTTTCGGCATAGTGTCAAGTCGACAGGTTGCCGCTTTCAGCGGTAGCAGCAGCGGAAGACCACCAATGACATTACAAATGACAAGATTCCCTTCTACCAGAAAAGCACGAGAGGCAGATTTTTTCTAAGCGGCAACTCTTGATTGGAGAGGCTAACATTTGAGCCTCTTTGCTACGACGCTGAGAAAAGCAACCACAGGAGGTTTAAGGTGGCATGGTCTATGATAGCCTATATATGGCTATGTTGACCTCTACCGGTGCGGTCGATCCTAGCCTGCGTTCTGCGTATGTCAGATTGCAGTTGGTCCATGTTAAATCAGGTTGGACTGAGAGTGGGAAGGATCCATGTTAGTGTGTGGCCGAAAACGGCCCCCAGGTAGCGAAGTCACCGTTTCATTCGGTCCATGTTAATCTGCACCTGGATTTGGATTTTGGTGCATGTTGGTTTTCACAGGAGTATGTTCTAGCTGTTTGTGTATTTTTTTGTAGTAGATTTCGTAGGAGATTGGGGGTGAGGGGAGATGAGTGTGGGGCCAGAATTGAGCGAGATTTGGATCTTGGCAGAGAGATATGAAATTCTCTTGGGGAATTGGGGGCGAGAATTGACTCAACATGATACGTCATGACCAGCGATCTATTTCACCCGCCGCTGTTAGTCTGCACCACTGCTTGGCTTGCTACGAAATCAAATGCTGCTGTTCTTTTCAATGAATACTTTCGAGCTGATTTCGAGCTGATGGGGCTGAACATGCTGGTTGCCTGGTTGCCTACCTTGAGTGTCACACCATCAAAAATACAATCCCCTAGCGCCGTTTTTCGCTGTGACGAGAGACGAGAAAGACCAAATAATGTGGAGGACCTGTTTGCAGTGGATTGGCAGAACTAGGAATGTTTCACCAAACATTCTGGTGACATGTTCACCAAAAGATCTGGAGGACCTTTTTGCAAATGTTCACCCAGTTGGCAGAGCTCCGTTCACCAGAATCCTTGGGTGATCTTGGGTGTTTCGATGACTTCCACCTTTCCCCACCGACCAGGCTGCCTTTTGCCGAAGGGCCAAGCACGGCTGCGCTTGAGAGTCTGGGCACCAAGCACGCCGTATGAGCGGGAGTGAGGCAGATTAAGGTGGTGATTGGCGTGTTCTTCGTTCTACAGGTATGGGAAATCAAAGGCTCTATTGAATACGTTGCTATGAGGAGCACAGGTACAGGTCCTATAGGAACAATCGACTAGGCCTCCTATTATGCTCAGGCTTTTCACGAAGTTTGTTTGGACCAAAGAATCCAGTGAAGCACATGCCCCCCCAAATCGAGCAACCGTTTTTTGCACCAAGGAAGGGGAACTCCAAACATGTTCGACCAGCAAAACTATATCCGAACTCACTCGAATCTTGAGCTGCTGCACTCATCGTCCAGCAGAACCTTCCGACGAACGCACGTTCTTCGACGCACTGAGGCAGGTCTCTTCACCAGCGGCACTGCGAAGATCTACGTTGCGCATGACGTCCCGGCTAAAAACCTGTCTTGTGGATCCGCCATGCGACAGAGTCCGGGGATGAGGAAAGGGACATGGATTCACGTCATGCAGTGGATTCAATAGGATTCAATGCATCTACCAGCAGTTTGGAAATCTAGTTGAGTCACCTTCTCATGGCACTTTTAGACTCTATATAGACAAAAAAGGGAGTTACATGGTTTTGCTCGGTTTGGGAGAATCCACCAACATAGGGATGTGACTCCTTAAATCAATTTGGGAGCCATAGCCCATCTGGGTCTGAAGCCTTCAGAACCCCATCCAACAGGTCCGGTCTGAATTCCGTTCCGAGGCTGGACTGGGTGGATTCCTCCATGTACGACCAGGCAAGATGGGAAGAGATATCAAGAAATGAAGGAGATGGGGAGTGAGATGGGGGCTTTTTCAGAGACCAGAGACGTTTTCAGAGGTCAAAATCCACATAAAGGAAACAAGTGGCCATGTCCAACTCTGGACATGCCTTTTGCTTCCGTGCTGGAAAACACATGCAAGTTGCTCGAGTGCCATCTCGGCGGCCAAGGCCGAGGATGGTGTTTTAGGAATCACCCTCATGGCCGTGCCAGTGTCGCCAGTGTCATTGTAGGCTGATCGTAACACCATCCCTTTGTTGATGCGATCGTGTAGATGGCATCTACGATCATCGATCTCAGCCTCAACAAGCAATCGCTGTCTTCTATTCCGGTACACTGTGCCTGTTGGCTTCAGAGTGTAGCCTTCTTGAAACTGTTGAAAACTCTTGGACAGTTCATGCGCATTGTTGTCCCTTCATGCCTGACAACCTGTAGGCTCCTGACATCGAGCAGCTGGAAAACGGTTGTGCAGAACGCCCTGTTGACGCTGTTGCACCTTCGCCATGACTCATGGTGCACCCGACTCGTGATGTCGAGCCTGTGCTTGTGACACTTGGCACGCCAGCTGTTGGCATGCATTTGACCTGTTGACAAGGATTGCCTGATGCTAATCTTGTTGGCCGGCCGCCACACCTCCTTGTGATTTCTTTCAACACCCTCCCAGGGACTAGAGCGTCGACTACTTTCATGTTGAAGCGTTCAGGACTGGCTGAACTGCTGTACTTGGCATCAGAGACTGATCAAGAGATGCTCCTTGTTTGATGGGCCCGTGCGCCTGTGCATGGCCTGTCGTCGCCTGTCGTCGCGTACGAGGCAAAGGCAACGATCGACTCGCTGCGACTCGTGGCGGGTACGACTCGTCCGTACCACTCGTGCGATTTCGCCATGTGAAAATGCCCGTTTCTGCGTCAATGTCCGGGAGTAATGGAGTTGGAATTGCATTGTCCTCCAAGATTGGGGCATGTCAACGCAGTTACTGCAGGTTGTTTGCTTTTCTGTATCATGCGGCTGTGAACTCAGGCAAACACGTCAGCTCATGTTCAGCTCGCTCTTGTGGTGTTGGTTCCTTTGCTTGTGGGGAATGCTCAGTATATATAGCCATGCAGAAGAAATTTGTCAACTGCCACCAAGCTGTCAACATGGCAGGGCTACGTGGATTCTATCCGGGAAGACTCAGCGGAGGCAGGGTACTCAGGTTACATTTGTGGCATGGCAATCGCGTTTAAACTTTAAACCCAACACGGCCAGTGGGGGGGCGGACCAGGTTTGCCATGGAAGAAAAACAGAACCTTGGCCGCTGGGCCAATCAAGCATTGGTCAATTGTGGCGACAGCATGTTCCCTTTAATTCACTGGTTTAATTGGGGTTGAGACCCCCTCAGCGGTTGCAACTTGGACCTTTAGTTTGTAGTTTGTATGAGTTTGTATAGAAAAGAAGATTCAACAGCTTTGGACACGTGTTGACTTTTTGGCTGCGCTAGAGTACCAAACAACTCGGCACGGCCACAGCTTGCTGGCAACCCTGAACCAAACGCCTCAGCATTTTTTAGCGAAGAAGAGTTGGAAACGAAGCACAACGCAACATGATCATGAACCAACCCAAGAACCACAAAACTCTGTTCATTCCTTCAGTTGTTGGGGTCTCTTGTCTTTGTTTTTCTTTTACCCCCATCACTCGTTGTTCGCCCTTAGACTCGTTGTTCGCCCCTCCGAGGCGACGGTGGAGGAGACGGCCGACGCGGAGGCGGAACAACGCGGGCAATGGGATGCGGGCAAATCAACGCGCGTTTGGTTTGTGCAGCCAAGAAGCTCTGTCGCCATTCAGCCCAGTTTTCCCCAAATTTTGGGTTGTAGGCCATCTCTTCCTGATATAAAGCTGATATGTTCTTTTTTTTAGATGTGCCTCTCTTCTCGTTAATTGTTGTCTTTTTGTTATCATGGTGTTCACGTGATTTGCTCAGGTTATTTATATAGTTCCATCCCTGTTTAGGGAATGGCTATCCCATGGTATGCCAGTTGACGATTTTCAACTTTTGAAGAACTTGTGGTCCGTAAGCGAGACTGTGAGATTCGGACACCGGGTGTGCTAGTTCTTTGCGGCCCAGTGGGTGTTGAAGAAAACCTGACGAAGTCCAGCAGCAACACAAAACACGCGTTGTTCATGATGGCGTGCTTTCTTCGATGACTCCATGAATGTTCATGGTCTTTCGGACCAGTTTCATGGTCTTTCGGACCAGTCCCCAAAAGCAAGTCCATGAATCTACAGACAAGTCTTTCAAAGTCGTCTCTTGTTTAGCTACATTGTGGATGTTAGCTTGGGGAAAGCAAATGTGGAAAGTCGTCTCTTGAATGTAGTGAAACTATGTGAAACTATGTCATAGCCAGCTTTTGGTACTGCCTTTACCAAGGCAGGTTGCTGCCTCTCCACACCCCGCCACTTGGCAAACACCGACCCTCCAGGCAAAGCTGGTGCCCTTGGCTGCCTGCATCAACGCCTTTGCAGAGGCGGAAGCCCTCAAGGCGGGAGGAGATGGACCGTAGAGCAGGTAGTACATCCTTCCAGGCATCTAGAGGTGGAGTATGGTGGAGTTATTGTTTGTTTCTTGCGATTGAACACTTGCCAGTTTGCCTCATGTTGACATGGATGGGGTTAAAGGATGTTAAAGGTCTGAATACCAGGTACGAAACCTCGGAATCCGCGGCGTCTTGTGGGGAACATGAGTAGCTAACTCCGCAGATCGGAGACGGTAGACGGGAGCTATCCGAAGGGTAGGAGACGGGAGACCGTTGAATTGCTTTGGTCCTCAAACTGAAAGACTAGACTAGAGCTCCTGCTCAACATGTTCCAGAAAAACAGCATCACAATCTAGGGTACCACAGTGGCCCAGACAGAGGGCCTTTTACTGTTGGTTGGTTGATTAATAGAGGGGATAAGGGGATACCCCCAAGGTGATCAACCAATAGGTATACGGTACAGTACCAAATCGACCCCCCTATGATTCCCAAAAGATCCTCAAAAGGACATCATTGGCGGCTCCTGGGTCCTGGCACAATCTCTTCATGGATGTTTCGACATGCGGAAGGTCCTTCCAGCGTCCTTGGGCAGAAACGAGCGACACTGTGCTTGCTTAAGGAGACACCCACATGACTCCTTCGACTTGGAGCCAAAAGCATGTCACGTCATCTATACACCCGACCTTATCCACTGCCAGATGGATGAGAATGGCAACGGGGTGAAGTGTGACAAATGTCCCGGGCTCAAGGCAAAATGACAGCGAAGAGGTAAGGTTGCGGGAAGTTTGTGCTATATACAACAGAAAATCGGAAGCACCAAACTTGCAAAGCATTGAAGGATGTCAAAGAGTTGTTTAAACACACATGATTGTTAAACACATATTTTGAGATGCCAACAACTTGCTGGCTTCACTGATGCCTGCATCTAGGTAAAGTGTGCGTGGATGCCACCAAGCAAATTGCCGCTCGGAAGCACTAGCTCTCCCAACTGCTGTTTGCCTGGCGAGCGGAGAGGACAGGATGTCCGTGCCATCGTGGGCTGCGAGGTGGTAAGATCGATATAGGAAAATGCATCGGATTTCCCTCTATTCACGGTCTCATTGTGTCTTTTCGATTAACCAGACGAAGATGCATTGGAAGGCTTTGAGACCCTCCTTGATCTCCTGGGAAAGCCAACAGACAGGGGTTGCTCGGAAAGACAGGTTGACCCGACATGGTCTGGTGATGATGCAAATGATCCACTTCGCTGATGATGGTGCGGATGACGCAGATACGCTACGTGCATGATGCGGATGATGCGTTACGGACATGATGCGGATGATGCGGATGATGTGTGACGAGGATTGGAGGATGAGCTGATGATGCCTTAAGATCCACTCAAGCCATAGTCTTGGAACTGCAAGACGATGAGTTGCTTTCTAGGCCCTTTAGGCAACTCCCCCCGTCTACCCATGTTGTTTGAAAGACTCATCATCGTTCGACAACAACGTTGTTAGCTGACTCTCTCTCCCTCCCTCCCTCCCTCCCTCCCTCCCTCTCTGTCTTTGCGGCTTGGCAACGATTCTGACGTACTGCTTTGATACTGCGGATGGACAAGATCTTGCCCCATCGAGATCATGAGACCAGTCAAGACCGGTCCCCATGTAATGACCCACGCACTGGCTGTTTTCCGGTGTTCACAACTGACTGCACTTCGGTTTGGGCATCTTGATCCTCGCCGAGAAAGTTAAGATCGAGAACGGTGTAGGTCACAAGGTTTGCGGCATAGTCGTCCTGGCAATCAAGGGCATCTGGAAGGTAAATAAGACAAGCAACTGTCCTGTGGTTCTTCAAGGTCCGGCTTAGTCTGCGGCCAGCTCTTTCTCTTCTTCTTTTCCACGGCCGTGGTTTGCATGTGTAGGAAGGTTTGCGCACACCTGAGAGGAAAGACAATGCGAAGTCGCGTGGCACACGTCACAAGATGCCATAAGATGCCTGAGGTGCAAACCGGAGCATTTGGACTCTGGCTGTTGTGCTATGTTGACGCTAGTTGAACACAAGCGCTGCGAAGGCACACCGTTATGATAATTTGTTTGAAAGGAACTGACGAATTGAGATTATTCTCTCTTAAGTGAATCGTTCAATAAGCCTGTTCATCTCAAGTGATGCTCTATTATGATGCTCTCATTAGTGAACCCGTCAATGGTCTTTGTCCTTCCTATTGGCAGTTTCCTCTTAAGGGAACTGTAAGCATACAGTTCCAAAAAAGGCCAACAGACGGTAAACGACATTTTTTGGTGCCCTTTTTATTCGTTTTAAAAAGGCTTTTGGTGCTTAAAAAAGGCACCCCACAAAATTGTCTTTTAGGGTTTGTTGGCCGGTGTCGGTTCATCAAAATCAAAATGATGTTGTTTTATCCTTCCCTTTATTGAGTGTCAGGAGAAGGAATCAACAAAGTTGTTGTGCAAGAGCAACGGGGGTCTTCCAATCAAAAGATGACATTAGAAGACATGTTGAAAGTCTATTAATCCGTTGTTTGGTGTCCCAAGTGCATCCATACAGGTCAAGAGTCGAGAACATTCATAACGGCTATTTGCCAAGAAACTTAAGATAGATGTTCAACTGAAGTGAAATTGTTGTTATGACAAAACTCCACAAATAGGAAAAAACACTAAACACTTGCAAATGTGCAATGACCGTCAATAAATACATTCTTAATAAACAAAAACAAAGAAAACGATTGAATTGTAAGTTTGGTGTAAACTTACACTAGATCTTTCACACCTGAAGTGTCAGATCACATCAAACTTACACAGCAGCAGTGTAAGTTTACACGCATTGTTCACTTGACCAGTGTAACATTACATCAAACTTACACTTCACAGTGTAAGCTTACACTTCTCTGTGTTAATAACTTTGATGTAAACCTACACTCCAAGGTTTCGGTGCAAGTTTACACCAAACTCACACTCCTTTTCTGTGAAATTCTCGTGTTTTTGATTGAAAGATCGTGCGCATTTCAATTTAAGTTTATTGAATTTCCTCTGACTTTCTGTGGGTCTTGATGACATGTCTGGCTGAAATTTAGTGAATGTTTCCATGTGTTGAAGCTTCCGCTTGTTGATCTGACTTGTTTGTTGAACTTTAGCAGAAATCACTTTCAGGAAACATATTTATTATCTTGGCAAGCAGGTATGGTCTTTCATGAATTTTCTACTGCATGGATTCACTTGGGAAATGACATTCAGAAAAGAACTTCCCAAGCGACACTTTCTTTGCAAGCAGTGATGGTCTTTCATGAAATGCTGTGAAATACTGTGTAGGTCACTTGAAAATGAGATACCGTAACACTGAACAATACTTAAACACATATTATACGAAACAATCTGTTCCCTCTTGTGTTTGGATTGATATTTCCACCAAGAGATTCATTTAAGAGGAAAATGCAATGAAGCGTGACACGATTCAATTGAGATCAAATAGTCTATTCAATGATGCACTTGATTTTCGTACACCTTCTTTGGTGCTTCCTTGTCTTTACATTCACTTTAACAGAATTGAGAACAAACGATGACACTTTTCAGATTTGGCGGTTCCTTTTGGACGATGTTCACATTGGATCTTAGCACTGCTGGCACAAAACCAACAACAAAGGGTTATTTGCCGTAGCAAATTGCATTCAATCACCGAGTTTCAACTGTCTATGATGTCTACCTGGTGTTGAGCTTGTCTGCTGAACAAATGCAAGTGTAAGACTAAGGTGATTCTTTAAGGTGAATTTATTCTGACTCCCTTTTGGAGAACCTGCCTGTTTTGAGAGAAAGTCTAAGGTGAACCTTTTACTTTGATTTTTGCGCAGTGATTCAGTGAATTTGTGTGTTCCAATCGAAAAGAAAGGTGAACCTTGTCAGGTGATTCTTCTACTTTGATCCTTGTTTGAAGCGAATCTGCCTGTTCTAAGTGAAGGTCTAAGGTGAATCTTTAAGATGAATCTGTTACTTTGATCCTTTTGACATGGATTTACTTAAGTGGCAGAAAAGCTCACAAGTGGACCTTCTAAAATGATCATGAGGAGGGTACCTTTTATTTTTGCAGGTGGATCTTGATGACAATCCGATGGAAAAGACAAAGCATAAACAGTTTGTAGTTTAAACATGTATATAAATGGGCTAACACTTTTGTAGGTTAAACGACTGAATAACCTGACACGTTTGAGGCTGTTTGATCCTTTAGCCTATTAGTTAAATCGACCTTTCTGACGAATAGTTCATTTAAACATGTTCAAAAACGTTCTAACTAATAATTAGTCAGAAAACACAAGATAACCTAATAGTTAGAAATCTGCCAAGCCGAAGCTATTGGGTTACAAGAGAATCATGTCGATTCAAAAATATGTTGAAAGGACATCATTTGAACACAAACAGTTTTTAAAAGGGAGTCAACGAGAAGCTAAAGGCATTCAACACAAATTGACAGGAAACCAGTAGGACCAGACAGGATACAGTATAACTTTAAGTGCAGACTTCTAAGACATAGGCTTCAGGTCACATCCCAAACCCTTGGGCTAGAGCTCTCCATGGAGTCAAGTCAGTGCGTGCGCAGCCTGACATTCAAGAGTACAGATTGAAAAAAAACAATTTTCAAAGGGTCTTGGTGAGGTTTCCAAGAATATTAGGAAACGAAACAACATGTACTAAAAAAAAATACACACACAAAATAAATATTGAAACAGAAAAACAGACAAACGAAAAATCCAGGAGTCTTGGGGGAGGGGAAGGGCTCCAAGAGTCTCTGAATATTGTTGTTTTTTTTTGTCATTTATTTTCTGTTCTTTGTATTTTTTCTTCGATGGGATGTTTTCTGTTTTCGTGTGATGGTTGTGTTTTTAATGATCTATTTTGTTTATGTGTTGCTTTGTTGTCTATTCTAATGGGAGGCAGACACAGGTGATGCCAGATTTGCATTTTCTGGTGCATTTTGCATATGTTTGAAGTGGTCAGTACATGTTTGCATATGTGTCTTACTGTGTGTTGGAGCCTTTGACATACATAAGGCATGGTAATTTCCAACGCAACGTTTTGAGCATGAAGCACATGACCAAGGGAACATGTTCATCCCTGGTGCACCCCCGAGTTGCTCTTTGGGGAGCGGAAGTACGAAATACGAAGTCGGATTTGCCCTCTTCGGCACTGGGGATGATCGCACACATTTGGCAGCTGTTCTTCTTTGTTCCCAGCAATCGGTAGGAGACGTACCGGTTCCCATCGGTCGTAGACCCGCGGCGGGTTCGGTAACCCTCCAGGATCGGCGCCGTAGAATGAGGGTTCGACTGCGGACTGCGGACTGCCAAAGGTGTGATGCACCGCCGGAGTCGGTGGATGCGGATTCAGACTTAATGTTAACATGATGTCGGAGGTATAGTTGGATCTGTGAAGGCCCTGGAAACCCATGGTTCTCGACGTCGAACCGCAAGGTACTATATAGAGCACACATGTTGCGCAAGATACTGGGCAACATCGAACGCGCAAGCAACATGCATTGGTGGTGCAAGCTTTAAAACAGTATAAGGGCTAAGGGCTGTGACATAATTTCCAGGTGTCCAATGCTGCCGGTGTCTCTCAATGGTGCTCTCTGTTTTTGGTCCATCACCTACCCAGGAAAAGTGGGTAACCTTTGGCCTTTTTGGGGGTTGCCCCGCCGAACAAGATGGTACAACAATACCGTAGTCTGTAGTTATACTTTTTATTTTTCAGGGACACTGAGGGAGTCAGATCAAGATAACATCGACTGATCGGGTGTGCGAGACCCTCTTCGACGACGAAACAATGCTGAGACGGAATATGCAGAGCAAGGCTGAACACTGCGAAGCACACCCGCCTGGGACATGCTCAGATTTTTGCCTGAGAGATTTCCATTCGAATTGAAGAAACTATTTTCAATGTTGGAGAGGATTGGTCGTCTAGTAATATATCTATATAGTATAGTAAGTTTTAAGGTTCTGGACTCTGGCTCGGACTTCTTTTCAGGATTGCACACCTACACCTAGGTCAGTGTCGTCAAGACTGATGCTGGCTGTGTGTGTTTTTCACATGGGACACCGCTGTCTTTGCAATTTTGTCCTGGTCCAAGGACATTTGGCGAGAGCCTGACGTGCTTGTCCTGCACATCAAGAGGTGGGAGGACCGAGGGGTCGCCCTTGGAAGCCCCGAACTCGCAGACCGGACATCTCTGATTTCAAGACGCGTACTTCACGGAGCGAATGGGATTGGCAGATATACCGATCAGGCCAGGGTGGTTGACCTGGGTCAATAGATTTTGTTATTCCACGATTACTCTCCCTGGAACTAACATGAAAGTGAAAAACCACCTGTTTCTAGTGGATTTCAGGGTCTTCCTTACGGGGCCATTCTCCACGTAACCATGTGGTCGTTCCAGGGAGTGTACATGGAATGTCTGGGATCGGTCGCCTCAAACTGCGAGGGTCTCCTGGGATCGGAGCGTCTAGACACATCATGAAGCCAGGCGTCATCCGAAGCACACCAAAGCCATTGGATGATGTCTCAACCCTAAACCCAATATATGTGAAAATCACCATTTGAGTAAAAGAATCACCCAGCGTAGGGACATCCGACATCAAATAAGGACATACTGCATGTGTATATTAACTTCCATTGCTGTATTGTACATATTATTTGTTATAATCTCTTTTCGAGATCAGTCCCAGGGGTCCGTTTCGGGTTCCCCCGTGGCGGGTGGGGTGAAACCCCGTGATTGATCTTATCCGAGGCCGTTCGGAACAACGCGGTTGCTGCACCGATGACCCGTTTGAAACCCCGTTGCACCACCGAGGCCTGAACCCCCCAAAACATCTCCAATTGAAGTCCCAAACATGGGGACAGGGACCCGGCAAAAGGGGATATGGTTTATTAACATCTATATATATATATACCCTAGAAGTCCCAAGACTATATTTTTGACTGACTGAAGTAAAGGACATTCCTTTTAGTGCCACCTAAAGACCATTCTTTTTATAGTCTTTGACTCCCAGGGTATATACAGTACATTTGAACATGTGAGACTAGGAGGGTCCAAGCGCGTAAGACACCCTTCTTGGGCCTGTTCCCGTCCAGGTTTCACTTCAGCGGAGAACACTTCGAGAAGATCTCAACGCCCGTCCAGGCGGGCGGGCGTTTTCGATCTCGGACCGGAGGGATGAGGGTCTGGGTGACTTAGTCCAGACGCTCCATATGGACTTGGACTGGAATGTTATATACTTTTTTTTTGTTTGCCCAGTTAAAGATCCATCGTGAGTCTTCCTACTTGACAGGAACTAAAGAGGCACAAGGTATGTATGTATATATGCTACCCCCCCCCCCAAAGATCTACCTTTTTTGCCTCCCGCATGCATGTCTAAGTCAATATTATAGATAGATCTACAAGCACTTCAAAGAGCTTGGTATCAAACAAAAACCAACCTTTACGCATCAAGGAGTTTATTACTTCACTGTCAGCCTTCAAAAAATAAATGTGACAGATTGTCCGAAGGATCTTATACGCAAGAGAACTTTCAAAAGGGAACATGCAGAAGACATACCAAAGCTGTATTTGACAAAACCCTGAATTGCTTAGGGATGATAAAGAAAGGTTGATATAGTTGAAGGACTTGACAATGTGCTATGACAACTCAAGCTGTATCAAATCAGAGTCAGTAGAGAAAATCAAGAATAACGGTAAAGGAATGAATGTATTGAATGACTATTTGACATGTGCAGCTAATGTAGATATCTGGCACTATTATACAAACACACCAAAAAGATGCTGACACAATTCAATACATTGAACAAGGTAATCACACATAATGCAGTAATGACTTTTATGACACTGCTCTTATGAGTGGGACAAATAGAAACATGCTTTTGATAGGAACCTATGTGTGAGATTATGGGAAGAGATGAGTTGACTGAAAGGGGGTATCCATTGAGGAAATGTAACAGGCATTATATATTGAGTTTAACATTTCAAAACCAAACATACAGAAAGTGTTTATACCAAACATACGTTATAACTGAACTGAACCAAAAGTTGAACAAAGTCAATCATACAATCCAAACACAGAAGCCAGTTCTACAGAACTTCTGTTGAGAGTTGCATTACAGTTGAGGATGAAGACACTTATAACAATATGAACCTAGCAAATGTATCGCTTCAAGAAGGAGGTATTCAACTCAATTCCAAAGTTATACCATTCAATTAAGCCGCTGATCGTTAAACGTTGAACCAACTGTGGAATGAGAAGTTATGCTATTATCTATTTGAAAAGGACCCTAAGGCAAACACTGAAATTAATATTACCAGAGCATTTACACACATTATAAAACAATGCAATGTTGTCAGTTTGATAGATGGAAGTTAAAGAAAAATGTGGTCGATTATGATACGTTGACGAAGTTTACTTTCTTGTATGCAGACAATTGTTTTTTTTTTGCCAAATATGTATATAATGTTATTCAACAATGATATTATGTGATCTACCAGGCAATATGAGACAATTTTAAGAGAAGAGTCAAGATACTGGCATGCAAAGAACCCATTAAAACTCACAATATTAATTACAGAGGTATTCAGAATCAGTGGGTGAACACAAACATATTTGATAATCAAGAAGAAGACAAATTCAAAGGAGTTGATAGGTGTTGTTAACTATGGATTGCTGGAAAAGGAAGCCTCAACATTTTTTGGACCTGGATTCAAGATTCAAGATGCCTAGAAAGAGTTTTTATACCTGGACCATCAAGCGAAAACCCAAAAACACATGTTTTTTGGGCATTGGTCAATGCATAGACCAAAGCAAAAAAGAAAATAACGTGTGCCTTTTTGCTTGTTGATAAAATGAAACCACACAAGACTAAAACAAACTCAATGAAAACCAAAACAATATTCCAGGCTGAAACCACAGATTCTCCTCAGAGTTTTTTTTTGGTTTTTGGTTTGGTTTTGGCAGTCTATGAGAAGAAAACAAAGAAACAAACAAACAAACAAAAGGGTAGAGCGACAAATATGGTTCTATTTATTTAATGTGTTTATCTCCAAACTATGCACATTATATATGCTTCCCTGCACAATTAACACCAATGTATTAAAATTCATGAAAAAGGTAGGTCAGGACATGGATGTAGAGGAGTGAGGAGTCCTTGCTTTAAACAGTATGAAAAAGGTAGATCTTTTTTGGGGGGTACCATATATATATATATACTGTATAAGTATGTATATTTATATAACTATTATTTCAGCTTCCAGATGTAAGTTTTCTTTTCCAAGACTGAAGTGGGTGATTGAGTTGAGCGAGATCTCAGTGAAATCAACATTGTTAGATAAAGTTAGATTAGGAACCCATAGTTTTGTGTTACGTGTAATATATATATATACATATATTATCAATATATATATATACTGTTAAATATCATATATACTTCATATATTACACATTGGATCCTTGGCCACGTGTCAACCACCCCAATGTAGGTACCCTCCGACTCACCTTCCATGGAAGTGGTTACGTTTCCCACCTCTTTGGTCTTCGTCACGGGGCCTTCTATGCCGGCTCCTGCCATCCAGAGAACGTGACTGATGGACCTGGGGGTTGTACCGATGGACCTTCCAGGGCTGTTCTTTCTTCGAGGTCCAAGAAGAAGCTGGTCCTTCGGAACCTGGGTGTGTCTTGTAATGAGACACCCTGGCCCAATTGGGTAGACGCAGTCGTTCCGAACCGTTCACTCAGAGGGTCTGAACGCCTCCCACTTGCTCCTTGGGAGTTTGCAGAACGACTCGGTCCCTCCAACTGAGCGGGGTGGAGTGCCAGCGAGTGGTTCTTTTGGCCCATTCTTGGGTGAAGACACCATGGCAGACCACTCGTGCATCTATATATTCTCGTGCATCTCGGCCTCCCGCTCCGCTGGGTCCTCGTGCACCGGCCTGGAACCGAAGTGTACCAGTGAACTGGTGGGTTGCCGAGGCGGTTTCCCTGGAGGGCATGGGCAGGTTTCTAGTGGCGCGTCCGTTGGATTTTGTTGTATTGAAGTAGGGTGCAGCCAGACCTCTGGGAAGAGGTAGACTCTAGACTATTTATAATCATATAATATAGTCCAAATCCTATCGGTTGGGAGGGGGTTGCCTTTCGAATTAGCCGCTTCTTAGGATGTGTGCCATCACTTCCACTGATTTCAAGGTTGCAGCATTGATGGCAGCATCATCCATCAAGAAGCTAGTGAACCACTTTTAAGGGGTTTCAGGTGGTCGCAGTCCGTCCGGGTTCCAGAACACCCCATGATGAGCATGTTTGGTCTGTCACACTCAACAGAATACCTCTCATGGCACCGGCAGGTTCCTTTGACGGAGCTAGACGTGCGGTCTTGGATTGGAGGCGACCGGACACTGGGCGTACTGTCCATCCCGGATCACCTGACAGGAAGAGCGCATGTCGAACTCCCCCTGCGGCACCCAGTTCCTTCGTTCAGGTCTTTGGAGGTACCAGGAGGGTCCAAAAAGAAACACCTTCTGAGCAGGTACCGCGCTAAGGCCATCTAAGGCCTAAGGGACGAAGACGCGGCGCGGTTTGGTCCGAGGACACCAGGTGTGAGCCGTACCCATTCGTGTAGGAGGAGAACCCACGGCATGCCGTGCCCAGAGACCCAGAGGCTTCCATAAGACCACGAAGCAGATCACTAACTTCAGCCAGTCCTCCGAAGCGCTTGGAGTGACTTGGGTGTGGCTCAACCATAAAGGAGATGCAGAACCTACAGGGTTTGGTCTCAATTTCGCTCTCATTACCTTTGGATATGGCACCCCATTTGTCTATAGCTGCGGCCAGGCCAGGAACTAATAGAAACGTTTTGTGAACACGTGAGCGCTGAAATTACAGCTCCCGTTTGCACCCAACGGCCCGAAGCTCATCTCACAGACCATTTGGATTAGACATCCCTCTCGACTTCCACCTGTTTACCTCTAGTCCTAGTCCTGGTGGTCATCCAGCGTCGATCGGTCGAAGCACACGAAGCGTTGTCCAGCCCCACAGTGCCACAGTTCAGCATTTCATGAGGGCAAGAACAGAGTTCTTACTCGGTCGGAGATACGAGCATCCATCAAATCATATTGGGTGTAAACGAAAGGGAGGCCTCCCAGTTCGACCCTTTGGAAGAAGGGAACTATAAATAGATCAGTCATGATGATCAGTCTACCCAATTGGCGGGGGGTCTCCCTATATCTCCCTATATTGAACATATCAAATCCATACCAAGAAGGGTTTTCCCTGCCGAGGAAAAACATGCCGACGGACTTGGGTCGACGAGCGAACGAAACTTGTGGTCGCTCCTTAGAATCTGTACACACTCGGTTCTCGGATGCATTTGGATATCACGTCCGTGGGGTTGCCACTTTTTGTGAGCAGCCTGCGGGCAGGTTGCAGGGTTCCCACAGAAACTACGGTTGTAGCTGCTAGAGTTGGAACTCCTGCCATAGTCCAATGTCGAGTCTCGAACTTGCTTCACTCTTCAATCGATGCCCATCTTGACCGCTCCGCCTATGGCCTCAAGTCTTTCAGGTCCAACGGGCAGTTGCACTGCCTATGACCTTTATGGCAAGGATTCCCAGAGTTGGGAGGGTCCGTGAGCTCCAGAAAAGTTCTCTCCTTCTCTCTTTCTTCATTGCATCAAGGAGGGGGCATATTGTTCCATCTTGGGGGTTACTGTACAACAGGAGGGACCCTGAACAGACATATGATGACAGGGTGGTTCCCTAGTGGTATGTCCTATTGAGACGTATTGAGCTGGCTGAGCCAAATATAGACAACTTAATATCGGTGCCTCAAAATAGGGAGCCCCCAACCAAGTGGTTTTGGATTGCTTTCCTTCTTCAAGGGTTCTGCTTGGGAGTTCTCCCTAGCTAATTACATATAGCATATTACTGCGTTCTTGTGGGCCCAAGACACCCTTTGCTGCAGCAGAGTTCGCCAGCGCCCAGGTGTTGCATGCCATCGTGGAGGTATGTCCGGTGGACACTATACGCAGGGGCGCCTAGAGTCGTGCTGGAAGGACACCTGTCATGTGCAAAAGAGATCAAAAGAACGTGTTTTGTATTGTTTTGTAAATCACTGGAGTCTCAGATGGGGTGTGCTCAACTTTTCCATATAAGCACCGCCCAGAAAGGTCAGAAGCAAAAGCTTTATGTCGGTAGATCTTACCTTGAGCACTGAATCCAATCAACACTGGGGATTACTCGACCTACCTAGCTGGAGGTTAACCCATGGAACCCAGATTCTTTCTGGATGCTTTTTAGTGGGGCGACCATGTTTTTCGGCGCAAGTTGTTTCGGTGTCTCATGCAGACTTTTTTGTGGCATGCCGATCATGCCATTGCGGCTGAGATCCTACTGCATGAACGAGGGGGGCAAGGACAAGCAAATCAGATGGTGGCAACGGTGAAGAACGATCGAGTTGTTGGTGAAATTATCCCATCACCCAGCAAACTGAGCAGAAGATACACTGTCAGTGGATTGTGGACAACCAAGACATGTGCGTTCTTTGTATGTAAGTATCAACACTACCCACAAACCATCACACACCACTTTTGGTAGTTTTGCGTTTTGAGTGTCCAGTGTATTCAGAATTTCCATCCTTTTTTAGCGGTGCACCAGTTTGTTGCAGCAGGTATGGGCCAGGGCACCCTTCATGAAGGCAAATTTCATATAGAGTATTGACAATTCCTGCAGGAGACAAGCGGTAAATTGCATTGGATTGTCCCCTATACTCGAGGAGTCTACTGCCATCGCGGCAAGATTGGTGGTTGGCTTCTTGTGTCCCACTGATCACCATCTCCCACGTCCTTGGCTGTGTTTTTCTTGCACCACAGGCACGCAAGAGTATAATTGCAATGGATTGCCATGGAAAAAAAGGTTATGTTTTGTGTCATGCTTGCTTTTTACTTATTCCAATTGAACAATTTTTTTGGAATGACTTATTTAATTTACTTGACGTCGGGACATGCATGCGCTAGTTGGTGCGGGCGATGAAGCAGAAGGTTGCTGAGAATATGGGCCCCAGACATGATTTACTTCATCATAATTCACATCTATTCCGACTCAATGCATGCTTTTTCTCGGGGCAGTCAAAGCAGAGATATGCAGCAAAATGCTGCACATATTCTTTTTTACTTGCCTCGGAGGCAAAGAAACACTTTTCTACATCCAGTTTTTCTACACAGCAAAATCGCACTCGAAAGGATTTACCTCTTAGCATGACTTCAGACTCTCGGATGATGGCAGCGCGTTCGGAGTGCACCGTTCTCCTGAGCAGCTTTGCTTTAAAGGGCTGCTCAGCGGCTCACCGTGACCATTCGGTTTTCACGGGTGCAACAAAACGTTGATTTCAGCCATGGCTGAACCTTGGTGCTTCGTTGATGTTCATGCTGGTGTTTGGCCATGCAGACGAAGGAGATGAAAGAGAACGTAGAAGAACAACTTCCGAGGTCGTGAAATTCCCACTGTGCAATGCCTCGCGAGGTCGTGAGTGTGGCGACGATATGCGACGGTGGCCACGCGAAAGAAGTTGTTCCCCACCTTTGGGGAATTTGTGCAGGTAAACGGGTGAACAATGTTCAAGAGGAACTAAGAGTCATCAAGAGTGGGAACTCTCGACATCAAAATTGTGTGTGAAACAACATATATATATATATATATTTGTGGAAAATGAGGTCCCATTGGTCAGCATTTTTAAATCGAGAAGTGTACCAATGGACGCCGCCTCAAGAGAAGGCTCAGCAGTGGACCCTGGGTCGCGTCGGAAAAGTCCGATGCTGTGTTCCTTAGTGGTAGCGGAGCAATAAGCTCCAGGTAGATCCTCTGTGGTAGTTGGTTGGTTAGTTTTGGCCATGGCGGCTGATGGGCGCACGCAACCAGTCCCTCGCAGTGATGGAAGCGAGGATGCTGATGGTGGACCTGTTGGTGCAGGTCGAAGAGAACCTCGTGGACGGGGTACAGATGAGTCCCCGGCAGGAGCCGGGATGTCCGACGACGTTGACAGTGATGAGTTCAGAGAGTTTTTGAGGATGAGAAGAATGAGGGGGCGAAGTCATGGAGGGCTTCGAGGAGAAGAAGATGGTGATTGGAAGGGCGGTGGAGCTCCTTCCAAGCCGCCCGAATGGGATGGAGAAGCCATCCCCTTTCAGGATTGGCTGATCAAGGCACGGCTGTGGCTCGCCACTACGAAGGTCCGAAAGAAGACCCAGGGTCCTATGATTCTTCAAGGACTTTCGGGAGTGGCATTTCAGACTTTCAAGCACTGGGCAAAAGATGTCGAGTGGCTTCAGAATGAGGATGGTGGAATGGTATTGCTGGAGGCCATGAACCTGCCGGAGAATTTTGGCGAAGATCGAGATGAAGACCTACTCAGCGCCTTGGCAAAAATTACTTACCACCTCCGTCGAGAACGGCATGAAGAACATCGAAACTTCTTCAATCGATGGGAGGAAGCACTTCGACGAGTCTCAGAACATGGAGTGGTGCTCCCCGACCAGTACAAGGGGTTCCTCTTGGTGAATGCCATGGCTTTGAGCGAACAGGACATCAAGGGACTCCTGAATTTCACCAGGGGAAGTATCGCCACCAAGGATGTGAAAGAATGGACAAGAAAACATGAGACGAAGCTCATGGTCAAAGAGGTTGGCACAGAAAACCAAAGGAAAGGAAAAACTACCTCCGGGACCTCATCTTCTTCGGCAGTGCACCACATGACTGCAGAGGAGACGGGTGACTTCCACGACGAGGACGAGATTTTGGAGGCAGTGCTGGAAGAACTGGATGGCGATGAAGATGCCGTCCAACCAGATGGAGATCAAGAAGGTGAAGAAGAGCCTTTGGAAGAACATGAAATTCGAGAAGTACTGAACACCATGTTTCAGAAACGCACTTTCAGCCAAAGCCTCAAGCTCAAGAAGGCCAAGGAGTTAGCCAGGGGCTATGGAGGCTGGAAAGGATCAGGAAAAGACAAAGGAAAGCAAGGAAAGAGCAAGCTCATCGACCAGATGAAACAAAACAGCCGGTGCGCCATTTGCAAGAAGATTGGTCATTGGCATCGAGAATGCCCAGATGGAAAAGGAAGAGGAAAGACTGGTCCCAAGGAAGCCTACTACCTTCAGAATATGGCGACAGAGGAGAACGAGGAGGCCTTATTTTGTGGACACTTGGAGATGGATCAGGAACCACTTCCTGATGAGCAGCTGGCCAAATTGAATGATGAAATGCTCTTCAGGTTGGCCGACCCGGAGGACCGAGAGATGAAGGAGATCTATGGTGACCAGTACCGGCACTTTGATGAAACGTATGAAACAGGTGAAGAATGGTTTTGGCAAGAGGCGACCGAGGTTGAGACGGACGTGAAGGAAAAGACTTCGCTGATTCCTCCCTCGGTGGCCAGGCCTTCAACATCGCCGAGCCGAACTGAGCCAGTGAACGGGGAACACGATCCGGAGGATCATATTTTTGATGTGGTGTCCAGCTCCCACACTGTAGCTGGAGGCAAGCAGCATGTTCGATCCCGATACAAGGTCCAATGCATGGAGATTGGTGGGGGTATCGGTTCGCATGTTCATGAAGTGTTTTATTCTGGGGATGATTTTGGTTTGCGGGGGAAAGCATCCGAGAATCATGAGAACCTAGAAGGCACGAGAGGGGTCCGACAAAAGACGAAACAAACACGATCAGGACGACAAGTTCAAGAGGATTGCTGCGCAACGATAGATACTGGGTGCCAGAGAATGGCAGTGGGGGCAGAAACCTTATATCGTTTGGCAAAACAACTTCCACAGGATATGATGATTGGCACTCTACCTCAAGAACATCGTTTCAGGTCGGTGAATGGTACATCGACTACCACCCATTTGGCGTCTATTCCTACTAGTTTGGGCAACAAAGGCAGCATCCTACGTCCTGCAATCTTCAATGAAGGAGAATCTCGACAAGCGCCGTTCTTGATCTCGCTACCCTTCCTACTCCATTGTCGGGCGGTGTTGTACCTGGACCCAAAAAGGGGACTCAGATTGTATTTGAGAAGATTTGATTGTGGAGTCGATTGTCACATCGGACCTACAGGAGCCCTAAGAGTGCCACTCAATCAATTCACTCTGGAGCAAATGGAAAGACTTCAAAAGGCTCATGAACAACTCCAACATCAATCCACCGAGTTTGAGGTCATGAAGATGGCGACGAAAGAAAGTTTTGGCTCGAACTACAAGGATAAAGACTCGCGCCCAAGCTCAGAAGACCCGTCATTTGAGAGCGGTCATGAAGCGCAGCCGAATCGAGGAGAGCCAGTATATGAATGTGTGGGTGAGAATGGTGATGAAGCTTCTCTTCGTGATGATTCGACTGACCGAGCTCTCAATCCGATTGGTGATGGGAGAGAGCCAGATGACCGATGTAGAGCAGGAGGAGGACTGGGAAGCATTGGAGACGGAACCAGCCTCACCGTTCAATGTGTGGCCCAATCCAGGAGTGCAGAGGAGTCCAAACTCAATCACGTCCGAGAACAGATCGACTCGAACTCAGACCACCAACAAGCAGTCTCCGAGCTACACTCCTTCATCGGGATCAGAGATCCAGTACCCGAAGCCGAAGGCATTTCCACAGGTCAAGTCCAAGGAGACGGTCGACCTGGAACAACTCAAGATCGACTTCGAGAAAAGGAAGGAGGAGTGTCAGCACAAGAGAACCACTCGCAAAGGAACGAACGCCTTCGTGGAGATCGAGCGATGCCTGACGTGTGGAAAAACCCTGAAGTCCGAGCGGAAGGACAACATGGAGAAGGAGACGGTCAAGAAAGAACCTATTTCCATCGAGAAGACGGACTTGGAGGTCGAGGAGGAGAAACAAGACTACCAGGAGTTCCTGGAATTCCAGAAATGGAAGGCAAGCAAAGACAAGCCGAAGAAGCACTCCTCGAACAAAGCGTGAAGGTCATGGGAGAATGGAGAGCACTGACCGAAAAGAATCAGAAGGCCATGATTGCTTCCCTCGAAATAGCCGAGAACTATGTGACGGAGATTATGAACCTTCTCAAAAATGAAGAGCCGATTTGTGCCATTGAAAAAGAGTTTGAACAGCTTCGGTCCAGCATGCGAGCACAAAAGAAGTATGCTAAGATGATAAAGGGTTCTCCGAAGGCCGTCGTCGAGATTTTCAACCCACATCGATTTGCACCCCATTGCAATCGGTCAGGACTCTTGGCAGCCGCGGCCTTCGATCTAGAACTGGGGCATGAGCTACTACAACCAACAGTTCGAGAACGAGTCAAGAACTACATCAAGGAGGTACGGCCAGGACTGGTGATCTTGTCTCCACCTTGCACCTTGTTCAGCATCATGCAGAATATGAATTTGATGAAGCGGGACTTCCTCAAGAGACTTCGAGAAGCTAAGATATTGCTGAGGTTCGCGGTGGAGATTATTGAGGAGGTGATCCGATACGATGGAGTATATCTGCTGGAACAACCGCTGACGTCCAAGGCCTGGATGGAAACGATCTTGCAACAGATCATTAACCGAGAAGATTGCATCTTGGCCCAATGTGATCAATGCCAGTATGGTCTTCAAGACTACAATGGAGGCAAGATGAAGAAAAGCACTGGATGGATCACCAATAGTCCTCGGATAGCCAATCGGCTAAACCGGAAATGTGATGGAACTCATGAACACACACACGTGTTGGGATCAAGTGGAGGATGCAATCGATCTACACAGGCACAGATCTACCCAAAGCCACTGATCCAAGATATCCTGGACGGCTATCGTGAAGAACTCCAACACCACGGACATTCCAAAGTGATCGAGCAGGTCCAATGGATGACTACGATGGACTGCCAACAACTTGAAGATCGAATACAACAATATGGAAACCTTTGGAATTGGTTCATGGAAGAAGAGCAGGAGAATACCCATCTGGTGCAAGCCTTGGAAGAAAGACAGGAGGATGAAGATGAAAACCAAGAAGAAGAAGGAAAGAAATGGCTACCTCGAGAACGACCCTTTTCTCTGGAACAACTGGTGCGTCGAGCGCACGAAGGACTTGGACACCCAGGCAATGATCGGTTAGCCCGAATACTCCAAGGAGGAGGAGCCTCAAAGAGAGCCATTGAATATGCAAAGAAGTTGACATGTTCAGTATGTCAGCAGCACCAGTTGGTTCGACCACCTCGAGCAGCCGCTCCACCAAAGGAATTACCTCCGAATCACACCGTTGGTATTGACACCATCTGGTTACCAACACCGGGCAAGAAGAGACGAATGGCACTCAACATTGTATGCTGGGCTACACGATTTCAGATGGTGATACCACTTCGGAGTCACACCGCACCAGATGCAAGAAGAGCTTATTTGGAATGGGTGAGGTTCATGGGAGTACCCCAACGGCTGTTCACGGATCTTGGAAAAGAGTTTTGCTCAGCGTTCCAAGATGGTGCAGAGCTTGATGAGACACTGGTGGAACCAAGCGCCTTGGAAATGCCAACGCAACGAGCCATCACCGAACGAGCAGGAAAGACTTTCAAAGAGATCTTGGAGAAGGCGATGGACAACTATGCCACACAGTCTGAATCTGAGTGGAGAGATTTGGTGGACATCGTAAACATGACCGTGAACCGCTTGACCAACAAGTCCGGATACTCACCCTGCCAGAGGCTGGGATATACCCCAAAGATGCCAGGGGGGCTCCAATTTCTCACCGAAGAAGAGAAGAAGGAGAGACAATGGGCCAATCGAGGAGACCTACAGATGCAAAGGGCACAAACGATGAGATTGGCTGCTGCAAAAGCGTTTCATGAAATTGAATGCCAACAAGCCATGAAGAATGCCATGCACCACGGAAGAAGAAGTATAAAAGACTTCGAAGTGGGGCAGACGGTATATTTTTGGAGAAGGGCACCAGGAGACAAAGCAAGCAAAGAAAGTACAAGATATTGGAGAGGACCAGCAAAGGTCGTGCTGACTTCCCCACCTGGTGCAGTTTGGATCAACTTTAGAAGACACATTGTGAAAGCAGCACCGGAACAGTTAAGGCATGCAAGCATGGAGGAGCATCAATCATTGTCCTCATGGATGGAGGGATTGTCCCACCTACGACATGTACTAGAAGAAGAACCCAAAGCCGGCTACATCGACCTAACGAAAGAATACAAGGAGGAGGATTTCGAAGATGATGGAGAAGATGTGACCTTAGAACCAAGAGCATCAGGAAAAGAAAAACCAAAATACAAGATCGAAGGAAAAACCGAACGGAAAGATGTAGTGATGAAGGATGAAGAAGATGAATGGATGTGGAACGAAGACAAGCAAACGCTTACTCGTTTCCATCTCCAATACCGACACAATCTCTTCAAGCCCACCGATGTGCCTGACTGCCCTGTGGACTACAAGTTAGGATCGCAGAGGAGAACAACTATGTACTTTGAAGATGGATCTACAAAAGAAACTGTGGACGATTGGCACGATGACGCTCAACCCGTCCAACCTCGGTGGAAAGGACGAACTGAGTTTCAATTCACGATTGACCAGTTCGAATGGGAGAAGGGGGGACCAGACCTGAAGGAGGCTACAAGAAGGACGAGCCCTACGACATCCATGCCAGAAGAAGCAATAGAGGAAAGGAAACTTGGTCAAAAGCGAGAGGCAGCAGAAGATGAAGACAACAGAGAAGGCCTTGAGAAAAGAGCCAGGACCGAGAGAGTCGAGGACCAAGAGGAGAAGGAAGAATTAGCTCGAGGACAATCTCGGCCGCTTAAAGTTGATGGAGGAGATCAGGAACAAATCCCCAAACGACAACGACTTGACTGGTTTGAAGTGATGATTAACACAATGATGCCAGTCATGAAAAAGCAAAAAGGGCAAAATGAGATCAAGCTCAAACAATTGATGGATGAAGCCAAAACAAAATACTACAAGGCGATCAAGAAGGAGATCGACAACAACATCAAGACAGGAGCATATGAGATTCTATCCCCAGAGGAATCAGAAGAAGTACGACGAGCAGGACACAACATCCTTCAATCCCGTTACGTCCTGGTGGAGAAGCGAATTGAAGAAGATGAAGTACCAGCAATTCAAGAAGAAGGAATCCTACTGAGGACTGATGAACACGGAGGATTCAAGGCTAAAGCTCGACATGTGATGAAGGGCTTTAGTGAACCGGACTCTGAATGGCTGGAAGCAGCTACACCGCAGGTGGCACCGGAAACAGTCCTGCTCACCCTGCAAACGATATGTTCCTCTAAGTGGACACCTGGGTATCTGGACTTCACTCAAGCTTTCCACAGCGGAGACCCCATATCAAGGCTGCTCTTTGCTGAAGTACCACCAGAAGGAATCCCAGGAGTACAGGAACGACAACTCTTGAAGCTGAAGAAACATTGCTATGGCCTATTGGATGGTCCTTATCAATGGTACGTCCATCTACAAAAGATACTGACACAGTTGGGCTATGAACAATCACAGGCCGACCCATGCCTCTACTTCCTGTTCGACACTCCAGAAACAGCTGACAGAGACGAAGAAAGTGAGAGGCGACTAGAAGGAATCATTGGAGTGGCCACTGATGATTTGATCCATGGAGGAGGACCACGTCACTGGCAACAAATGCAATGGATTCAACAGCACTACAAGTTGGGAAAGTTCACGAAAGGAGATGGAAGATTCGTGGGAAAAGAAATCAATTGTCTTCCTGATGGAAGCATCAAGGTGCATCAAAGGATGTACGTCCAGGAGAAGATCAAGCAAATCGAGATCCCGAAAGATCGAAAGACCCAGAAATATGCACTATGCACACCAGAGGAGACTTCGTCCTTGAGAACGGCTTTGGGATCACTTGCTTGGTTAGCAAAAGAAACAAGACCCGACTTGATGGGTAGAGTATGCATCCTTCAACAGTGCATGCCACATCCATATGTGAGGGACATGCTCGAAGCAAATGCTTTGTCCAAGGAGGCCATGGAAGAAATCGAGACAGGCATCATCCTGACTCCAATACCAATGAAAGATATCCGAATCGGATCGGCTTCAGACGCCAGTTGGGGAAACTCCCCATGTCAGGAGCTCGAAGGAAAAAGCGAAGACTTCTGGGAAGAAAAGGAGGATTTATGGATACGACATCATGTCCAAGCACGACATGTTCTATTTCATCCAGGAGCGGCGTATGGAGGACCCCAACTCCATGAAGTAGAAGAAGAACGGGCCACTTGGATTGATGGAGAACTGTTTGAAGACACCTGGAATCGAAGAAATGATGTGAAAAGACATGGATCCTCTGAATGGAAAGGACACACCGTGTTTGTCAAAAAGAAGACTAACAAGAAGACAGAGATCCACGAACGATTTCTACAAGTTGGAAGAACCCATAGCCAAGGAGGACACATTGTGTTTGCCTACCACAAGAACCTAGAAACAGAGCAAACACCACAGCCCATTTCAGTGCTGAATTGGAAGAGTTCAAAGTTAAAAAGGTGCACGGTCAATACTTTGGCAGCAGAAGCACAAGCAATGGTGCAGGCCGTGGGAGCATCCTATTGGATGAGGTTTTTGCTGGCTGAGATCAAAGGATTGAAGATGAGCCTACAGAACTGGCAAAAGCAAATCAGTCGGACTCCATATCTCACGGCAACTGACTCCCGCTCACTGTTTGACAATTTGACCAGATCCACCAACGTGGCTGCACACATAGAGGACAAGCGCACCGCGATCGACTTGGCCATTTTGAAGAATGACATGAGCACAACTCGAGGACAGACCCGATGGGTGCCAGGTTCGATCATGATCTCGGATAGCTTAACTAAAAAGGGCCCTTCTAGCTTTTTAAGAGGAGTTCTTCGCACGGCATGCTGGACCTTGTTTGAACTTGGAGCAAAAAGGCTTCAAGAAATGCTGACCAAAAGAAGTTGGGACCGATGTGGAAAATGAGGTCCCATTGGTCAGCATTTTTAAATCGAGAAGTGTACCAATGGACGCCGCCTCAAGAGAAGGCTCAGCAGTGGACCCTGGGTCGCGTCGGAAAAGTCCGATGCTGTGTTCCTTAATATTATATTATAAAGGCACTTGATGTTCACCATCCCTGGCTATGACATCAAGAGTGGGGCCACCGAAGTCGTCTCGACCAGTCGTGTCTGAACAGGAGCCCCAATGGCTCAAGTTCAATGATGACACCGTGTCAGTCGTCGACTTGGAGCAGGACACCATTTTTCTGGCGGAGGTAGCTTTTCTGCGGTACGTGCAAACTTCTTGCGATTTTTGTTGCCCGGAGTTGCATAGGTATGCTTTTGTCTTTGGAGAGACCAACACGACCACCAACACACCCAGAATCACATGGTCATACCAAAACTAGATAGTTTTCTTGGATAAAACGCGCTGGAAAGCCACAATGGACCAAGATACTAAGTTGATCAATTTCACCTTAAGGGACCGAGATACTAAGGGTATGATGAATATCATTACACCGTCTTGATCACCGTCGACGCTTCTTTAAGGACTTCAGTTCATCTTGAGTAGAAAACACTTCTCTTGTTGTTTTACACTACTCACTTTTCTCACCTTCTTCAGGTTTAGTTGGTTGAAGGCGCCGGTCGAAAGCGTAGGAGATCTCGAGAAGACCGACGTTGAGAAGAGCTAGTTCAAGAAAAACAACATTAAGATATTGTGATGGGAACGAGAACCTGCCCAGGAAACGTGGGGAACCTGCCTAACTTTTGGCTGATCGGTTTCCCACTAAACAAGAACAGGGGGAACATTGTCAAAGTACACCTTTATTTTTCCAGGGAATTAGAGAACACCAAGAACGTCCCAAGGTATTCCAAAGCTCACTTCACACCTTTTGCGCTGTTGGGAGTGGAGTTGTTGATACATGGTAAGAGGCTGTTCGAAAGGCAGCTGTATGTAACTATATAATTACATGCTGTTGTTGTTTTTGCTAGGTCCAGGTCGAAGCATTAGTTCAACCGTCACCCGTCACATCACCCAATTTTTCCAGAAACAAACGCCAGCCCCTCAGGCAAAGAGTTCACTTTCCATCACAACACCATTCTGCTGTTGGGTAGTGCAGAAACAGGTATGTATCAATTGCCGGATTGCCGGTTTTACGTTCTGTATGCACAAGCAAAGAAACAACAGCTGCAGGCTATGTACCAGCACCAGCTACCTGCCTGACACGGTATATCCCATGGACAAACTAGAGTTAACCAGAAAGTAAGATCAACGCAACACAAATCATTCTGAAAGAGAGTTATTTGTACCGCAACTTGTTGTATGGTCTATTGCTATTTTTAATCACATCTTCCTACAGATGTGTCATGATACGTTGCTTTTGAACAGACATCGCAAATGACCAGCTGTTTTTGTATTCAGCTTCACTTGCATCCGACATTCCTTGATACATGCATAGCTGCTAGCCTCGCCTTTGTGGAGGGTAGCTGTTTTAGGTGATCAGGACAGGACGTAACCAAATGGAAGTGAGGCGATGCAGATTTGGGGTCACAACACCATCCTCCAACCGCCGCCCAACTGTTTGTCCAGGAGCTTCCAGAGATCTCGAAGCAGTTGCCCGGCGAAGCAATTGGTGCCCAATGAAAGGACAAGTGGATCACCTGCTTTAAGTGGATCACCTGCAGCTTTTTGGAGGGGAGTGATTTCCGAGGATTCCCCACAAATGACCAGCTTGGAAAAAGGCTTCACCCGAAGATCGTGCAGGGAAACAGTCGCATTCTCTCACTCAAAGACTGCTTGGGAATTCACTCAAACATGCCGTGCGGCATCAGTCGGCACCTGTTTGGCACCGTGGGTGGCCTTTCATCCATTCAAATGATGGGCCATGTGTGAACCGGGAGTGTTTTTTCAAAGATCAGCAACTTGCTAAGGACACGCGAAACCATGCGACGTGCAGCTAGATCGCCAGAAACCAGCCACCACCAACCACCAGAAACCAGCCACCACCCACCCACCACCCCGTCCATGCTTTTGCCCGTCCTGGGATGCACCTGTTTTTCTTGAGACGTCCCGTCCCCGTCCCGAGTCGGAGGCCGAAACCGGACGGTCGGATGGGGGAAAGCAACGTGGCAACATGAATCGGTGTGGAAACGAAGTTCTGTGAATGTGGAGAGCTGGGTGCTTCGATCGCGTGGCTTCGCAGCTGAAGGCAGCTTCGCTAGGGAGAGCTCGTTTGCCTGCTTCTGTGCATGTTTAGTTTGTGGGTCCTGCTGGGGAAATTTCGAGGGTCTTCCTATGCCTTCCCGGTTGGAGATACCCCTCTCCCGTCGTTGGGCAGTTCAACGCAGTGCCAATGAGAGAACCTGATCCCTTCCAACAGTACACCCAGCTCTTGGCTCCCAGGTGCTACGTGCTCTTCTACCGGAAGCAAGCACTTTCATCCTCGAACCTCATCAATTATTCGTCCCTGTGAACCCCGAAAGCCTCATCATTCGGAGATGTTCGGACAGGTTTTGGAGTCTGATTTCATCCAATTGTCGTTTACAACGGGTGAAGATGTCCATCAAAAGGATCCAAAGATTGCAAAACAAGTATCCTACAATGGCATTCGCAGGCCCTAGAGATCAAGTCAAGTTTCCAGCAGCTGCCTCATGATGCACGGTTGTTCAACTAAGTTGAGAAGGTTACGTAGATAAGTCATTATAAATAGGGTGTATAAGTCGATAAACCGTATGCCCTCATGGAGCTGACTTGGACGCCTGCGATATTCTATGATTTCATTAACGGCCGCAGATCTTGTCGGGGGAGACTCAAGTTTTGCCTAGGTCGGCTGTCGCGGCAAAGTTGGATTGTGGGAGGAGTTGTGTCTTATAACGACGATCTCCTTGGTCCGTTGTTCTGAACTTTTACCCCCCGCGAAAATAGTTCAAACTCAGCTGCGACTTTGGCATGGTTGACAGGGGCACTTGTTACATAGAGAGATCCACCATCGAAGCATGGACGTGCTTTTTCGACCGTCTCTGGAGCAAAGAACAGGCTTTCCGAGCCTGAGCTCGGTACCTTCGATGTTTGGACAATCCATGAGAACCTGACTGCACAATTTGAGAACCCCGCCTGAAAGTATTCCTTCTTCACAACAAGAGCGTTACATTACCTCAGTTGCCAAACGTGAATAATGGCTAAGCTGCCCATGGTCTGGGGTGTTTTTCATTCCTCAAAACCAGTCAATATGGACAGATATTGAATGATATTGAATATACCCTGGCTGTGATTTCGGAGAACACCTCCAGGTGGTTGATCCAAAGTCTCTAATCACATGTGTGGGATACCTAGCATGGCATGTGGTTCATCCATGCTCAATTTGCCCCAAGTTGGAACACGTCTTTTCATTACTTTCGGCATTTGATCGAACGTCACAAGATCATCCCCCGACATTGCCCTCATGATGTTCAGTACAAACATGTGGCTCCAACGTTTTTCTTTTTTAATGGAGTTGGTGTCTTTTGTTTAATGGAGTGGTGTCATTGGATATTGTGTTCTGGGAGACCTTGAAAGCCGCTCCTCGGATTTTCAGAACTGCATCACAATGACAATGACTATGTACGACCTTAGGGCCCGTTGGGCTCCAACTTACTTCCTGAGGTTTGGTGGGACTGGGGTGGGTGCCAGGGGGGCCGAACCTGAGGGATGTGGCGTCTAAATGCCTCCCTGTTCAGGTTCCCCTTGCGCAACATGTCTGAAGTACTCTTTGTACTGAGTTTTATGCGCAAACAGCAGTTTCAACAAGTTGCACTACGCGCGACCAGAAGCTACGAAGGTCTTCTGCATTATTTGTCATGTTTTGTTCATGTTAATGTACAGTAATTATACTATATGTCTAAAGTATTAATATGTAATAAGTGTAGTACATATATTATATGAATGTTTTGAGTTCTCAGGAGTGTACATCCTACATGGTCCTACAAAAACCAAAGCGACTTCGCGGTCTTTTCTCCAGAGCTCCCGGCTCCCGCGGTCAAAGAGACGGCGTCACGTCTCCGCCCCGTTTCACCCGATCTCGACATAGATATAGATTGATGGGCACAAGAGCCTCGTCGTGTCGCCCGCGGTGCCTTCTTCCACGAACCCCCGGAGGTGCCGGAGCCCGTGCCAGGACGAGGAACGCAGGAAAGGACCGATGTTCCAGAACGGTGGGCGAAACACGAAAGAAGCTTACCCCGAAAACGAACGTGAAGGTGTTCTTGGGATGTTGGACCCCAGATGAACAGTGGAACATGAAGTCATGTGCTTTTCCAGCCACCCTTGTTCTTCCGGATGTTGTGCTACCGTGCCGCTGATCTCCTCAAGATGATTGGCCAGGAATGAGAGTGTTTGACGACATGTCTGATCATTTTTGCATTCTGTTCAGTTGACACCAGAAAAGGATTCCTACATTCCCTCAAAACTATATAACTTGGTTGCAAGCACCGCTGAAGGACGGGTAGTCAAGCGGTTCATTTCAAAAACACCAAAGATCTGATTGTGGGCATAGTATCGTTGAAAGTTCAATCCCTATAGATTCTACTTGTGGAGGGATGTCCTCTTAAAGCAATGTTTGATGTTTGTTTTGTGTTTAAATAATGTTTTTTGTTTTAGACTACGAAATGATTCTCTCTCTCTCTCTCTATCTCATACTCTCCGGTCGACACATACACAATGAGGCTCAACCAGCTCGCGTTTTTCCAGCTGCACCATTGAAAGAACCTTTTAGCTGCAGCACATAAAGACGAGATCATGTCAGGTCAGAGGACACCTATGTTTTTTCCAGTTTGCTATCACCATGTTTAAGTTGCAGACCTGGTGAGGACAGTCCGCATTTGAACTACCCAGCAAAGTTCACGTCCCTGTGTCTCTGTGAGCAACGGGGTGCAGAAAACCAGGATTCTATGTCTCTTTGGTACAACCCCCCAAAAGGGCATGAAAAACAGGAGCTCCCAAAGATTCCCAAAGTATATTGTGGCATTATCGACACACAAATAGTTTAGGTATATTTGTCCAAGCTCGGAACTGCACAATGCAAATATCTTGGCAGCTAGAATACGCTCATTGTTGCACATCCACCAGTGGACACGGCAATCCTGGTGGTTTGTGGGTCACAGCTCCAATTTCCAAGCAAGCAAATTGATTAGAATTTGTACCCTCAAAGGTTCTTGGCTCAAATACCATCAAATGCCAAGTGTTGGTATATGTAGGGTTTTGCCAAAGCCTTTGGATTTTGGATTTCAGCCAGGAGTTCTGACGGGAGTATGTCTCTTTGGTATCACATGCCAGGCATCCTTAGGTATGCAACAGATACTTTTTCAAGCAAACATGTTTGACAAAAGCAAACATCATGTGAACAAACATCGGCACGGCACATCACACGGAACTTTCTGGTGCCCAGCAAACATCCTTTGGAATCAGATGGTTAGGTTCATTCTCGCATTTGGGCCTGCTGGAGCCTGGAATTTGTAGCCAAGCACTGCAAGAAGCACATTTACTTCATTTCAGATGCTAGATGTTTGAGGCATGCGGAGAATGTTTCAAGGCAACTGCTTTGACCCTGATCAGCCCCAAAATACAGGCATTGGACATCTTCTGCAAAAGGAGATGGAACCAAATCAAGCCACTTGCATCTTGCCTTGGGACGCTGACGCTAGTTGATATATATATATATACACACATCCACGCATTAAAACCATGTGCAAGGCTCAAGGTGTTTGACCAGGGCAATGGGCACCTGCACGCTGCAAACAGAAGAATGAAACATAAAGAAGCTGAACATGGACCACTCCCTGACAAAGTTCTTCTACATTTCCACAAACCCTTAGTGTTCAGGATTGATGGAACACATCTCTTCATGGAAGTGGAGACACTTCACTTCTTGATTCAAACGATCTGCAAAGGTTCAATGACTTGGTGCCACAGCTGAAAGGAAGCGACTCATCGTGGACCGTTGAATCCATCAACGGTCCGACTCCGAACCGAGGTCGCACAAACCCGGGGTCTTCATGACGCCCGTAAACGGAAAAATATGGAGCCTGATGGCATGAACCTTTGGAAGAGGTTTATGTTTTTTTTTTTTTTTTAACGGGGGGGTAGGCCGTAGCTAGGGGTAGGTAGCTAGTAGCTAGGGAGTCACTAGTAGCTAGAGGTAGCTAGTAGTAGCTTTTTCGCTCGCGCGCGCGCACGAAGAGCGCGCGGGCGCGGGGCGGGTAGGCCGCGACAGTAGCTATGTAGGTAGCTAGTAGCTTCAATAGCTACTATACTTAGGACGCAGGATAGTTCGCGCTTCTTCGGAAACTCCCAAGCTTCCTTGAAGAAGCGCTCGCACTCATGATTTGGTTCCTAGATTTTTAGGGAAACTTCAGCACAATGGTTTTCAGCTTCCATGTGGGTCTCTTCCAGGGCATAGCAGGCATTTGCTGGAGGAATCAACGACTGAACGACGGAACGGGACATGCGCTGATGGGTTCGAGCCTTGGGTTTTTTACTCCTCGTGCGGGCTTGAGGTCTTTACTCCTCACGTGGTAACATAACGTACCTTATAGATCCTCATGTAGCTCATGCGGATACATTCATGCAGATATCACGGCAAACTGGCCGCCTAAGGACCCTATTGGGGGACTTCCTACTTCTTTGGGTAGATTCTGTTCCAGATCTCATCCCAGTGGTCCGCGCACCTCAGTTCACACGGCATCCCCCCGCGAAGCCGGGTGGTGCACGCAGCATCCCTTGCTTTGGTCCACCGGATTCCGTATTTTTGGAGGGGGAAAGTGTATGGGACATGGGGACATGTCGTCAGGGTATGTTTTCAGCACCAGGGGACATATATGACATATTATGACATATTCCATAAACAACTTACTAAACTAAGCTCCAACAACAACATAAACTTACTACAGCCGTGCAGAAAGTGATGGGCGTGGCTGGTGCGAGATGCATACAATGACAGAATGCTATTATACCCAGAACCCAATTGACCCGTTTTTGATACGAAAAACATGTATATAGTTGGGGTGCTTGGTGATCCAAAATAGCGGTGATTCAGCTTCTAGGTCTTAAACACATATTATATACTGTATACAATATATATAGATATATGATAAATATACTTTGGCCAAAGGATCGGACTGAGTGCTTGAGGTACAGAACCCCGGACTACCCGTACTACTGCGATCTACTGCGTATATCCATGTTTCCCGGAACCGCTGCTCTTCCGCTCTATCCGAGCACCTCAGGACAACAACATACCCTAGGGATCCACTGCCACCCTTTGAGAAGGTGATTGAACTGCTATGTAGGCGCCAGGAGCGTCCAGTCGTACCGAACCTAAGAAGGTATGTGGATCTCTAGACATACTACAACCATCCCTAAATGGTTCCTTCCTTCCTTCCTTCCGTCCTTCCTTCCTTCCGTCCTTCCTTCC